AAGCTCAACATGGCCAGCAGCCTCTCCCACACCAGAAAACATTTGAGTTTTGAGTAGAAGACAATTACCTCCCTCACAAAGAAGGCAGACACACTGTTCCAGGGCAGCTTAATGTGTGGAAAGGGATGGGAGTGGGTTGGATCAAGAAGTCCAGATTTGTGTGCAGCCAACTGAGATCCCAAGGGGACACCTCCCATGACCATAGGGATCTGTGGGCCTCAGAGGAGATTAGGAAAGTATGACATTCCTGGCTGCAGACCAGCTCCACATAACCCTGGAGAAATCCAAGGAGATGGATGGTGCCAGCAGGAAGCAAAAAGAGCTTAGAGTCTCAGCAGGAAAGTAGGCCAAGGCCCACACAGCCAGCCACTGACTCTCCTCCCTGTGAGGGGTCGCTGATGGTTAACATCCACCCATCCTTGGATTCAGCAAGTGTTTATGGAGTTAGTGTAAACATGGGTATCAGTCCTGCCTGCCCTGAGGTCGAGTTTAGAGTGTATTGGAAAAGCCGGGCGGTGGTGGCGCACGCCTTTAATCCCAGCACTCGGGAGGCAGAGGCCGGCGGATCTCTGTGAGTTCGAGGCCAACCTGGGCTACCAAGTGAGTTCCAGGAGAGGCGCAAAGCCACACAGAGAAACCCTGTCTCGAAAAACCAAAAAAAAAAAAAAAAAAAAAAAAAACTAGAGTGTATTGGAAGACATAGGCAGTGAAGAACCCAAAAAAGAACTGGGTGTGGTGGCCCACACCAGTGACCCTAGCAGTCAGGAGGGTGGGGACAGGAGGAGGGAAGTTCAAAGTCATCTTCAGCTACATAATGAATTCAAGGTCAGCCCGGCCTTAATGGGACTGTCTCAAAAGGGGGGCGGGCAAAAAAAAAAAAACTAAGTCAACACAATGACAATTGGTGTCTGGGAAGGGACTCTCTCACAGAGCTCTGAATGGCAGGGAAAAGTCACGAGAAGCCTGAGGTTATCAAGCCCAAATAGCGGCAGATTGATGGAATTCCAGGAGGAGGTAATCAAGAACTAAGACCCTTCGTGTGTGGGGGGAGTCAGGACGTTGGTTTAGTCATGTGTGTGTAACAGGGGACCAATAGAGGATTTGGAAAGGGTAGGAAACCACCACCCCCCTTTTTTTGAGGCACACTGGCTTTGAATTTTGATTCTCCTGTCTCAGCCTTCCATACACTAGGATTATAGGCAGGTGCTCCCATGCCTAGCACCCTTATTTTCCTCTTTCTCTCTCTTCCGCTTTATTTATTTCTTCTGTTTTAATTTTTAGAGACAGCGATTGAAAAAGCCCAGGTTGACTCCAAAGTCACCATGTAACCAAGGATGACCTTGAACTCTGATCCTCTTGTCTCCGCTCCCCTGGGACTGTAGGCATTTGCCACTATAATTCTCATCTCTTCCACTCTCTGAAAGGAACTTTAGTTGCTACAGAGAGTCTAGACCTTTAGGGAAGAGCGTGAAGTCCAGGTAGACTATGAAGGTGGCTTGATGCTGGTGCTGACAGAGACGGGTATAGTATGGAACATCTTTTGGAAACACCAGGATTTGCTGATGTGGGTGAGGATGACGGACTCCAACTTGGATAAAGGAGGGTGTCATGATCTGAGATGGAGAAGATGGAGGGGGAGCAGAGTTGGGTACCAGTCACGTGGGGTTGACAACTTAGATCTAGAGAGGAGGAGGGCTGGAAGCTGTGAGTTGGTGGTCCTTGTTAGATCAAAGCCCATGTTGTCTGGCCCCAGAGATGTTGAGATTAGTACATCCTGGAAGTCTTCAGTAGTTGGAATGTGTTGAGTGGTTTTTTGTTTTGTTTTATAACCTTCAGGAAGGCCCTGAAAAAGAGACAAGAAGCTTAGGCTGGCGATGGCAGTCCAACTAAAGAGAAAGTCCCTCCCTCTGCTGCCCCTTCCTCCAGTTGCTTAGCTATTTTATCACCAGACACCAAAACTGCCCTGCTACAGATACCCCACCTCTTCTCCCAAGGGTTTAAGGCTAGAAAGTCCGTGCGGGGTGTAACGAATCCCAGAGAGTCAAAAGACCCAGGACCAGGGAGGGCGGAGGCTCGGGTGAGTCAGCATCAGGCCCAGGAAAGAGGCCCAGAAATGGGAAAGGAAGGAGTGGGGGAGGCGGGCTGGAAGATGGCTCACCCCCTGAAGACCTCAGGCTGCACCCCAGAACACCTTTGAAAATGCTGGGCGGGCATGGCAGCAAGACATGTTAATGCTGGGAAATGGAGACTACAGAAATCTCGAAGCTTGCTTGATGTCTAGACAGTCACTTAGTGAGATCCTGGTTAAGTGAGAGACCTTGTCTCAGAAGGAGACAAACAAAAAAGCAAGGTTGAGGCACCTGATACAGGAAACCTGAAGTTGATTCCTCCCTTCCACACTCTTTTCACACACACACACACACACACACACTCTCTCCCTCTCTCTGTGTCTCTTTTTCACACACACACACACACACACACACACACACACACACACACACACACACACACACGAAGGGTCAAGTGGCATGGTGGCCCACACCCTTTAATCTCAGTAGTTAGGAGGCAGATCTCTGTGAATATGAAGCCAGCCTGGTCTACACAACAAGTTTCAGGATAACCAGGCCTACATAGAGAGATCTTGTCTCAAAAATAAATAAATAAGGTGTTGGAGAGATGGCTCAGTGGTTAAGAGCATCCGCTGCTCTCACAGAGGACCTGGGTTCAATTCCCAGCACCCACAAGACAGCTCACAACTGTGTGTAATTCTAGTTCCAGGGAATTCATTGCCCTTTTCTGATCTTTGGATACCAGTCTAGCAAGTGGTGTACATATATACATGCTGGGAAAACACTCATACCCACTAAATAAACAAATATTTAAATAAGGCAGAGAGCTGGGGATAAAAGCTCTGTGTAGAGTTTTTGCCTAGTACAGACAAGGCCCAGCACCACCATAAGGAAACAGTAAAATTAATGACCGAAATAAGGAAGTGAGGGGCCGCTCAAGGCCAACACCAGGGTCAAGACAGAGGGGCCCAGGTCATCAGGGAGAATGACTCTAAGCAGGATCTGAATAGGAAATAGCACCTTGAAAGAAACTTTCAAACCCTCCAGTTTCAAACCTGGAAAGGCCCCTAGGACCAGGCAGATGGCTCATTCCCCCAGAAAAAGGAACTGGTTTTCAAGGAGGAAATGGGAGAGAAAAGAGGAACACAACACTCTGTCTTCAAGCGTTAATAGCCGCAGAGATTCAGTCAACACTTCTTCCCGGCTGAACTCAGAAAGCCCTAGCCCTGTGTTTCCCTTTTCCCTATTTGGTAAACATCCAGGCTCCATGGGGACTGTTTTGTCCAACTGCATTCTGGAAACAGATGTAAATCATGGTCTTTGAGGTCAGGAGGCTGCCCTTTCCTGGGTTCGCCACCCTGGGTCTCCTGTCTTGTGCTCCCAGGCCAGCCTGTGATGACCCACACAGGCACATGAATTGCAGTTCTCTGGATGGGGTGCTGGGGATGGGGTTATTTCCTGAGGAGCAACTTGGGTGGGCACTGGGGTGGGGGTGGGCAGGAGGGGAGATGGCTGATTCAGCTTCCCCAAGCTGGGCTACGATCCAAAGAAAACACAGCTGGAGATGATGAGGCGAGCGTCAGGCGAAGACCGTACATGCTAACATCTTGGGCAGAAATCCAGCTTGGCATCCCATGGCCAATGGAGCTTGTGTTTATCTGCTTGGACCAGATCTCCACCCCTCACCTTGTACCTCAGCTGCTCAATCTGTTTAACGGAGAGGCAGTAAGATGGGCACGGTGGCACTCCCCAGTCATCCTACCTACTCAAAAGGCAGAGGCAGGAGGCGCACAATCTCACAGCCTGGCTGGATTACAGCATGCGTGCAAGGTCGGCCTGGAAAACTTAGGAAGACCCTGTCTCAAAGTAGAAAGTAGAAAGAGGGCTGGGGAGGCCAGTGAGGTGGCTCAGTGGGTAAAGACACTTGCTGCCTTGATGTCCTGAGTTCAATCCCTGGGACCGTGTGTTGGAAGTGGAGAAAGGACTCAACAAGTTGTCATCCCGCAGCCTCTGCACACTCGCCGTGACTACACTACCCGTCCTAATCAAGAGTAAAATGTACTTGTGAGAAGGCTGGAGGCGTAACTCAGGGGACGAGGGCTTGCCTGGCATGAGCAACACCACCCATCAACACCAAGAGAACAAAAAGGAGAGAAGGTGGACAGTGTGAGCACGCGCTCTGGATCAGACTGGCTTGAACTAACTCCTAACCACCTTGGGAGCGATGATGCCTATCCTATAGCAGACCACATTAAAGCTGTGTTGTGTGAATTCACATTTCCAGGGCAGTCTGAAATAGTTAATACTGATTATCAGCTCTATTTATTGAGTCTTTGGTCTGCATTGCTAGTTTTAGCACTTTGTATACTTTATCATAATAGCCCTCAATGCCACTTAATCACCCCCATTTTGTAGATGTGGAGACTGAGGTTCAGGATCAGATTTGCTATTTCCTCTAGAACAGTGGTTCTCAACCTTCCCAATGCTATGACTCTTTAATACAGTTCCTCATGTTGTGGTGACCCCCCGCCACCATAAAATTATATTCATTGCTACTTCATAACTGTAATTTTGCTGCTGTTATGAATCATAATTAAATATCTGTGTTTTCAATCATCTTAAGCAACCCCTGTGAAAGGGTTGTTCATCCGTCAAAGGGGTCAAGACCCACAGGTTGAGAACTGCTGCTCTGGAACAATGTGCCCCCATCCACTTAGGCGTTGGTCATGTCTGTACATGCTGCAGCGGTAGCGCTGAGCAAACCCTAAAATATGTTCCCTCTGGCCCATTCCCAGAAAAACTGGCTGACATGCTCAAGAAAAAGCCTTGAACCAGGTCTGTGTGGACAGAGAGCACTTGACTAAAGGGCTAGGCTGGTGTTAGTGACATGGCTGGGATGGCCATGCACAAAGGATTTCCTTTGAATTCCAGGAGGCCTCCAACTTCCTCAAAGCCATGGGCAAAGGCAGAGCTGTGACACTCGGGATATTGCCAAAGCCCTCCCTGGGCACCACTCGACCAGCATGACCGAAGGGTGAGACCGCAACACACCGTGAAGGAAAGAGGAAACCCACACACCCGAAAGGGGAGGCTGAGCCTGCCAGTCCCCGGAGTCAGGGTGAGGAGCGGCACCTTCTCCTATCCCACCAGGTCACACCCGTGCCTGGGTTAAATAGTGAGTTCCAGGCCAGCCAGGGTTACAGATCAAGACCTTTTCTCAGAACAAAAACAAAAAGAAAAGGAAAAGAAAATCAACCGGGCTGTGTGGTTGGGAGTAAGGGTTAAGTAGACAGGGAAGGAAGTTGCTAATGTAAATGTCCCCATTTAACTAGAGAAGAGTTGACAAGAGCCAGCCTTAGGAGGTAGAGGAGCATTCTAGGCAGAGGGAACTGCAGATGCAAAGACCCTGAGCGGGGAAAAGGTGCATGCTCAAGGACTAGAAAGGACAATGTGTAGAGGTGGGATGAAGGGCGAGGGAGGAGACCAGAGAGCATGGCGGCAGGAGCCACTGGTGGCTGAAATGTTAGCGACTGTACTTAACACTTTCAAGCAACACAGTGACTATCCGAAAAAAGAAGATGGCAGGAGGGGAAGAGGCCGGAAGGGGTGAGAGAGGAAGGCCAGAACGGAAAGAGAGTCTCTTCTTTTTGGAGGGCACTAGGAACTGAGCCCAAGGCCTGGTGTATGTAAGGAAAACCTCACAGCACTGAGCTGCACACCAGAGCCCGGTTTTGTTTCTTCTTCTTGTTTTTTTTCTTTTTCTTTCTTTCTTTTTTTTTTTTTTTCTGAGACAGGGTTTCTCTGTGTAGTTTTGGTGCCTGTCCTGGATCTCGCTCTGTAGACCAAGCTGGCCTCGAACTCACAGAGATTCGACTGTCTCTGCCTCCAGAGTGCTGGGATTAAAGGTGTGTGCCACCACTGCCTGGCTTCTTCTATCTATCTATCTATCTATCTATCTATCTAAATCTATCTATCTATTTAATGTTTTATAAAATCTTTATTGACAAATAATTCACATAGTACACAATTTGCCTGTTTGCACAATTTGGTAGACTTTAAAAGTCCAGCATCCTCATAGGCCCATGACACCACAACCACTTTCTATTTTAGAACATTGCTCTCTTCAATTTCATACACACATATAGTGTATGGTGATTACATTCCACGTTATTTTTTTATTTTTTTTTAAAGATTTATTTATTTATTATGTATAGTGTTCTGCCTGCATGTATGCTGCAGGCCAGAAGAGAGCACCAGATCTCATTATAGGTGGTTGTGAGCCACCATGTGGCTACTGGGAATTGAACTCAGGACCTCTGGAAGAGCAGTCAGTGCTCTTAACCTCTGAGCCATCTCTCCAGCCTCCACGTTATTTTTTTAATGAACATAATATTTGCAATTGTAACCATTTTTAAGTTCACAATTCAGTGTCATGAATTATATTCAAGATATTAATTACACTCATTATATTCATTAATTACACTCATGATATTAATTACATTTGTGGTATCATTGATTACATTTGCAGTATTTATTCAATAACTATATTTATGATATTCAATAATTACATTAATTGTATTGACTTATTACATTCATGCTATTACGTCCTGATACTACTGTCCATTTGTGGGGCTTTTCCATCACACAAAACAGAAACTCAGGACTGGAGAAATGGCTCAGCAGTTAAGAGCACTTACTGCTCTTCCAGAGGACCTGGGGTTCAATTCCCAGCACCCACATGGCAGCTCACAGCTGTCTATAACTCCAAGATCTGACACCCTCACACAGACATACATGCAGGCAAAACACCAATGCACATGAAACAATAAATAAAAAGACCCTTAACAAAAAAAAAAAAACCCAGAAACTCTGTACTTAGGAAATCATTGCTCTATATTCCTTTCTTCTCCATCTTGAGATAACGTCTAATCTTTCTGTCTGTATGAATTTGTATATTCTATATATTTCATGTAATACAATTCTATGGTATTTTTAATTATGTGCATGTGACTACCGTACCTGCCAAGGCCAGAGGTGTCAGATGCCCTGGAGCTGGAGTTTCAGGCTGTGAGCCACTGATGTGGGTGCTGGGAATTGAACTCAGGTCCTCTTTAAGCGCAGTAGGTGCTTAACCTCTGAGCCATCTTTCCAGACCCCAGGTTTGTGTCTTGAGTCAGAATCCAGGAAGACTACTTGCCTCAACTCCAAGCCTTGCAGGCCTGGAATCCTCTGGATGGCCTCCGAACTCTCTGCTCCCTGCTCGGCTCACTCACAGTGGTGCCCTTAATCATACTGGCCTTCATTCCGTGCTGATGGTATGGCATAGGCTATGCCCAGCACTTGCAATAGACCCATTTATATTTACAATAACCTTCAATTAAGGCAGGGATGTAGTTCACTTGGCAGAGTATTGCCTAGCATGCACAAGGCTCTGTGTGTACCATCCCAGCACCACATAGACCAGGAGTGATGGTGTACACCAGAATCCCAGCACTCTGGAGCCGGAGGTAGGAGGATCCAAAGTTTAAGGCCATCTTTAGTTGCATAGAGATTTCCGGGCCAGCCTGGGCTACATGATAACCTGTCTCAAAAACCCCAAACCACTCCTCCTCTCTAACTTAACTCTTGCCATTTTAGGAGGAGCAAACAACCTGAGTGATTAAACAAGGGTCCTAAGACTGATATCCTAGCATGTAAACAAACTCTGGTCCCTCAGACAGAACAGTCTAGGCCTCTTCTTGAGCTAATCTCACCCATCTCGCACTGTTTACGAACAATCCCTGAATTCTCCAGTAACAGTCACAGAATTTGCCTCAACCTCCAGTTTCCTGCCAGAGAGAATTCCTAAGAGAGCCAGCCTCACAGACTATAAGAAGGTAAAGCCAGATCTAGGGTGATTAGCCACTCTGGTTTGTCTGAGAATGAGTGGATCCCCATGCACAGTTCTGAACCCAGGAAGGTACCGGACAAAACAAGACTGCTTGGTCAGCTGAGCGGGCTGAGTGCTCAGTAAGCATTCTCTTTGCCCACCCACAAGGCTATAAAAAGGTAGCCAGCATCTACTCCTCTACCTTCCACGTTGGTGCTTGGAACTATGTGGGCACCGCATGGGGCGCAGGGGCACTGTGAGGAGCAGCCAGCCCCAAGGGCTCACCAAGGAATTCACGGTTCCCCGGAAAGGAACCTCCCTCTGGCGTGATTCTAGTTGTCCCTGTGGTGTCCTCCTGGGCTTCAAATTCTTGTTAGGACTTGCTTCCCCCAAGAGAAGGTCCCAGGGTCCTAAAATTCTCTGATAGATTGGGGTCCCATAACAAAGCCAGCAAGGAGATGGTTATGAGGGAAAGGAAAGGGAAATTAGGCTCGGGCCTTGCCCGGATGCTGAAGAGGGAGTTCCCATAATGATTCTGTGCTGGATGAGGAAACTGAGGCTCCGCAGTGAAGTGAAGGGGTTTGCTGAAGAGCGTGCAGGAAGAGCTGCTTTTGACAGCTGTGGCTTGGCAAGCCGCCTTCGGCACTTTTCTCGCTCTTTTAGGAGCAAGTCCCCCCACTTGTCCGGGCTTGTCACAAGCTCGGTATTGCTCTCTCCACCCTCCCTGCTGCCAGCGTCCCGCCCCGTCCTCTCCCAGCCCCCAAGGAGGAGGGGAGAAGAGCAGCCAGGAGGGGGGTCGGGAGGCCCAGGCTTATAAAGGCTGCTGGACCCGCGCTGCCCGCCAGACCCCGCCGCCCGGATCCCCTGCACTGCCTGCCGTCCCGCGTGACCGCGCCGTCCCCCAGCTCCAACACTAAGTGAGTTGGGGCGCGTCCCCATCGCGCCCCTAGACCCTCCTGAGCCACATGGCCCACAGAACCCAGGTAGAGAGGAGAGCGGATGTCCTTAAGGAGGGCGTTGGGATGGGGCACCAGGCCGAACGGGAGAGATTTAGGACCTGGGAGAGCCAGGGGAGACGGGGAACCCAGGAGATAGCGGTCAGCCGGGCCACCCCTGCGCGCGGCCTGGGAGACCGCAAGCACTCAGCAGGAATGCGCGTGTGGTGGTTGCCATACCAACATACAAGCCAGCACACGCCCTCCTCTTAAGGAAAAGGGAAAGTGGTGGTGGGGGGATGGGGGATTTCATCCTCCTGAGGTCCAAACTCGTCACGCGGATGTTGCACGAGGGAACGGATCCCCGAGTCCTCTGGAGGCAGAGCGCAAGTCGCATCGCGCTTCGGAGCCTCGGTTTCTGCATCTAGCAAATGAAGACAAGATTATTGGTTCCGAGTGTCCCCGAACAGTTTTATGGAGAGTAACGGTCCGGGCCAGCACCCCGTTCTAGTTGCCCGTCCAAGGAGTGGTTTTGAGCCCCCCCAGATGACACCTGCGACCCCACCCCGCCCCCAGGCCTGGTCGCCATGGCCCTGCTCCCGGCCCTCTTCCTAGCGCTCCTGGCAGGTGCCCATGCCGAGCTCCCGGGCTGCAAGATCCGCGTCACCTCCGCGGCGCTGGAGCTGGGTAAGGCGCGCAGCGGGCAGCGTGGACCGGGTGGGGCGCTCTGGCTGTGGGCGCTGGAGCTGAGGGTCTCTGTACTACCTCAGTGAAGCAGGAGGGGCTGCGCTTTCTGGAACAAGAGCTGGAGACCATCACCATCCCGGACCTGCACGGCAAAAAGGGCAATTTCTACTACAACATCTCGGAGTAAGTAGGGCCTTGAGGCGGGGCCTCAAAGGTGGGCGGGATGACCTGGGAGACCCCTGGGGCTGGGCAGGTCGGGGCGTGGCCAATTAGACTAGGTGGGGATCTAAGGAACCCGTGGGGCTACTAGGTAACGGATGGAGGTAGGCGGGCCCAAGAAAGGGGAATACGAACCAGTAGAATTGAAGCTTGGATCAATGAACTCTGTGGAGATGCGCTGGAAGAATTTGCCAGTGGATGAGGGTGGAGTCTCAGCATAGGGTGGCGCTAAAAGGGAGGAAGTTTAGGATGGGAGATGGGAGATCTGTGCTGTGTGAGGAGTTAAGGTGATGGAGGCAGGGTCAAAGGACCAGGTGGAAAGCTAAGTCTGGCACACGCCTGTGGTCCGGGTATTCGGGGAGAGGGGAGGGGGTTGGGGCAGGATCACAAGTTAAATGCCAAATTGGGCTTTAAAACTCAAAACAAAGCCGGGCGGTAGTGGCGCACGCCCTTAATCCCAGCACTCGGGAAGCATAGATGAAATGAGTTCGAGACCAGCCCGGTCTACAGAGGGGCTATGCAGAGAAACCTTGTCTCAAAAAACATTAAAAAAAAAAAAAAAACACGAAAAAACCACAATGAAAACAGGTCTAGCAATCACAGTTTGGGCAGAGGATGAGCTGCAAGCAATAAGATTATATATAGATCTCTTTATTTTACTTACTTTTTAAGATTTAATAATTTCTTTTATGTGCATTGTTTTGTCATCATTCATGTCTGCATGAGGGTGCTGGATTCCCTGGAACTGTAGTTACAGAATTGTGAGCTGCCATGCAGAACATCTCTCTGGCCCCTATTTATTTATTCTTGGGTAGTGTCTTATCATGTAGCCCTGGCTGGCCAGGAACTCACTCTGTAGACCAGACTGGCCTTCAACCCACACTGGCTGGTCTGCTTCTGTCTTCTGAGTGCTGGAATTAAAGGCGTGTGCTACTATGCCCGGCTTTTTTTTTTTTTTTGGTTTTCGAGACAGGGTTTCTCTGTGTAGTTTTGGTGCCTGTCCTGGAACTCGCTCTGTAGACCAGGCTGGTCTCAAACTCACAGAGATCCGCTGCCTCTGCCTCCCAAGTGCTGGGATTAAAGGCGTGTGCCATTTTTTTTTTAAACCAAATCCTCTGTGTATGTTTATATGTGTGTGTGTGTGTGCGCGTGCGCGCGCGAGTGCATAATTTAATAGAAATACATATGTAGTTCCTGAAAAGGATCCCTTGGGCTCACAAATTCAAGATCAGTCTGAGTAACAAATGGAGACTCCCTGTCTTTTGTTTTGCCCTGGCAGTCTTGGAACTTGCTCCATAGACCAGGCTGGCCTCATGCTCAGAGATGTACCTCTGCCTCCTGAGTGCTGAGGTTAAAGGAGTGTACCACCACATCTGGTGACTCCCTGCCTTTTAAATATAAATAAATACGTAAGAAAAGAAGAAGGCCGTTTTAACCCCTGGGTCCAGAGAGCAGATCTCTGAGTTACCCAATGCAGGTTGGGCGCTTGAGGGGCAAAGGAAAACTCCATCCCTCCCACCCAGCTTCCCAGCAGGCAGCTAGAATCTCACCCACCAGCTCCCCAGCCTGAACCAGGAAGAGCAGGGAGGAGTCCCGTGTTGGGTGACTGACCAGACACCCGCCCTCCCGCCCTCCGCAGTGTGAAGGTCACACAGCTGCAGCTGATCTCCTCGGAGCTCCACTTCCAGCCGGACCAGGAGCTGTTGCTGCACATCTCCAACGCATCCCTGGGGCTGCACTTCCGGAGGCAGCTTCTCTACTGGTTCTTGTGAGGACCCTGCACGCTCAGGGCGGGGTTGGTGCCTGGGGCCCAGTATCTACTAATCTTCTCAGGTTTCAGTTTTCCCAATCAAGAGGGGGGTTTGGTGGGATGTCTGGTAAAGATAAGAAGGAAGTATGAGGAGGATTTATGAGTCTCCACCCCTAGCTGAGGAGCTGTGGGCAGTGAATGGCTGTGTGTGTGTGTGTGTGTGTGTGTGTGTGTGTGTGTGTGTGTGTGTGTGATTTTTCTAAAGTATTGTAGATGCTGGTACTTTGAGGATACTCCAGTTAGTAGCTCCGAACCCATGCTTTTATGCAAACAATACTAATTAAACTCATTGGATCATAAAAAAAAGTCCTGAATGTCAGGGTGGTTCATGTTGGGGAGAAGGGTTCAGGCGTGGAGTGGGATGAGAGGGCAATGGGGACATATATGATCAGAAACAGTTTGTACACATGTGAAAAAAGAGGTATCATGTTGTATGGGGTAAAGAGAAGGGTAGTGACACCTCAGTTAATCTCCCAAAGGGGTGAACACGAACCCCCCTTTGGCAGCTATGATGGGGGCTACATCAATGCCTCGGCCGAGGGTGTGTCCATCCGCACAGGTCTGCAGCTCTCCCAAGATCCCACTGGTCGGATTAAAGTGGCCAATGTCTCCTGTGAGGCCTCTGTCTCTAGAATGGATATGGCCTTCGGGGGAACCTTCAGGTAAGTCCGAGCCCCAGTACCTGCCCACCTTTGGAGCCCCACAGGCTCAGGAAAGGAAAAATGCAAAGCTTGGGGATCCCACTGAATGAGTCCAACCCTTGTCCCCCGACTTCCTGGCTGTGTGAACTTGGGCAAGTCACCAAAGCTGAACACGTCAACGTCTTCTGGAAGATGGGGAGAAGAATGGGAATCTATTTTGCCGGATCATCACGAGCAATTGTTAGGATTAGTATATCCTGGGCTGGAGCTGACTCCGTGGTAGACTGCCTGGCTAACATTCACACAGCCCTGTGTCCAATCACCAGCACCTGAATTTAGACAATATAAACTGGAGCCAGGCATGGTGGAGCACGCCTTTAATTCCAACACTCAGGAGGCAGAGGCAGGAGGGTCTGTGGGTTGGAGACCAGTCTGGACTAGGCCATGAGTTCTAGGCCAGTCAGGGCCATACAGTGAGAACTTGTGTCAAGCAAAACCCAGAAAATTCTGAAACTGACAGGATCAGTGTGCACAGCTGGGCCTGTACTTCATTCTCAACAGCAATAACACAAAGTGACATTTTTGGGTCTGGGGTCCTTGGTGCTGATTTTTTGACGGGAAATGGGCTAGATCTGTCACCTGGTGTTTGTTCCCTGTCAGATTTTGTTTCTTCAACAAGTGTAGTGGATCCCGGACCCTGAAGGTTTAGAAAGTTTAGAGCTCAGGGAGAAGGATTTAAATAGTTGTTGTGAGGACCCAGGAAGTGGAATCAAGACAGTGTTCAGGGGGATTTCGATGGAAGGTGATCTGAGAAGGCTGCCTGGAAGAGGAGGCATCTGAGCCCAGTCAGGAGGCCACAGAGGGCGGGAACACTGGGGAGGGCATCGGGAGTGTACAGGTTAGACATGGGGGTCTCTGAGCGGCTGTGAGGATGTGAGGCATGTGGCAGAGCAGAGAGCCTTGAGGGTCAAGCTGGAGAGGGGCTGGGCTTGGGTCTTGGAGAATTCTGTTGTGGAGCTGGCTGGGACTAAGGAGTCCCTGTTGTAACTGTTTCTTTTGGGCCCTGTCATTTTTCTGGGGCCTGGCTTGTGGTCGGGGCAGGGGCTGGGCTAACCCAGGCTCTCTTCTCCTTGCAGGGGGATATATAACTTCTTCTCCACGTTCATCACGTCTGGGATGCGGTTCCTCCTCAACCAGCAGGTGTGTGCGGTGACAGACCTGGGTAACAAGTAGGGGTGGCCTGGCTCTGAGAAGCCCTGACTCCGGCCTTGTCCCCCAGATCTGCCCTGTGCTCTACCATGCTGGGACAGTGCTGCTCAACTCTCTCCTGGACACGGTGCCCGGTGAGTCAGTGCTGGTGGGCCCAGGAGACCTGACCCAGGACTGAACCTGGGGCTAGGGCTAGAAGGAAGCTGTATGCTGCTGTCATACAGCCTTGTAGAACAGGCCCCTCCCAAGTCCTGGGTTCAAATGTGTCATTGACCTGCGGTCTAACCTTAGGTAAGAAAACTTCTCTCTGGGCTTTCGGTTTCCTGGTTTGACTGGCAATACTCCCCCAGGAGTTGTCAAGGTCTTTAGTATGTGCTTGCTGATCACGGGGCCCCATTTGTCTCCAGCTTCCATTTCATGGGTGCTCAATCAACATAAATCCCTCCTTCCTAAGCCACCGTGTCTGTCACTGTGGATCAGCCATTTTGTCCCTCAGGCTCCCTAGGTCAAGGGCATCGAAAAGGAAGGAAGGAGAAATGACTCCTTTGCCATCTTAAGCATTTTTTTTTTTTTTTTTTTTTTTTTGGTTTTTCGAGACAGGGTTTCTCTGTGTAGCTTTGGTGCCTTTCCTGGAACTCACTTGGTAGCCCAGGCTGGCCTCGAACTCACAGAGATCCGCCTGACTCTGCCTCCCGAGTGCTGGGATTAAAGGCGTGCGCCACCACCTCCCAGCTCATCTTAAGCATTTTAAAACACATTATTATTAACTCTGTGTGTGTGTATGTGTGTGTGTGTGTGTGTGTGTCTACCCATGTCATGGTGTGTGTGTGGAGGTCAGAGGACAACACTGTGGGGTTGATTGTCTCCCTGCCTTTGTATGGGTTCTGGCAACTGAACTCAGGTTGCCAGGCTTTGGCGGCAAGCTCCTTTACCTGATGAGCCATTTCACTGGCCCCTCCTTTTCAATCTTGCTTAATGATTTGATGCAACCTCTCCAGTAGTCACGGTAGTAGGGGGAACGAACACTAGCTTCATTACTGAGTGTGTACACCACCCCAGGCTCTTGGTGTTCCCCACTTTAAGCCAATCTGATCCTCATAAGAACCTTGTGACGGGGGGTGGGGGGTGGGGGGTGGGGGGGTGTCACTGTTTATGAAGGAAAGATGGAGAGGTTGAGCACCGGACCAGTGTCACCCAGCCTGGAGTGACTTGAGGCCCTTTCTGCAGTGCGGAGTCCTGTGGATGAGCTTGTCGGCATTGACTATTCCCTCGTGAAGGATCCTGTGGTCTCCAACGGCAATCTGGATATGGAATTCCGGGTGAGCTGCCTGGGCTAGTTGCTTGTGACCTCTGACCGCCAACCAGCTTCCTTTCTCTCTGTGGCTGAGCAGGGCTCTGCAGGGCTAACTCTACTCTGTTGTGGCTCCCTGCTGCTGCTGCTGCTGCTGCTGCTGCTGCTGCTGCTGCTGCAGGCTTGGGTTCAGCCTCCTGGATCTGGAGATCGAGCCCCACCTTTCGAACTGCATTCTGTGTCTCTATAGCTCTTGCCCAGCTGTGCCCCTCAAAGGTCCTTGCTTCAGGGACTTGCTTATGCCCTGCCCATCCCCTGCCTCTCCCAACCCTGTGAATCAGGTGCCGACAGTCCTCTTTTGGTTTCTGAGGGGGACTGAGTCCAAGTCCTCCATGGGTATCATGGTCTAAGGATGTTCAAGTTCATCATTTAAAATGGTGTCATATTTGAGTGACATATAGCCTGTACACGTCCATTGATAGATAAAATAGTGTGTGTGTGTGTGTGTGTGTGTGTGTGTGTTTGTGTGTGTGTGTGTGTGTGTGTGTGTGTGTGTGTGTGTGTGTGTGCAGACACATGCCATGGCACACATGGGGAGGTCAGAAGACAGCTTGTGGGAGTTGGTTCTCTCCTTCCACCTGGGGTCCTGGGGATCAGACTTAGGTCCTTAGGGCTCTCGGTAAGCTCCCTTACCAGATGAGCGGTCGTGCCAGCCCGACAGTGCTGTTTGTTTGTTTGAGACAGGGTTTCTCTGTGTAGATCTGGCTGTCCTGGAACTCGCTCTGTAGACCAGGCTGACCTCAAACTTAAGAGATCCGCCTGCCTCTGCCTCCTGAGTGCTGGATTTAAAGGTGTGCGTCACCATGCTCAGCAACCATGTTTTTTTTTTAAGATTTATTTTTATGTTTTGTATATAAGTGGTTTTGGCTCTCTGCATATATGTGCACTGCGTGTGTGAAGAGAGTGTTAATACCTTAGACCTAGACCTATAGATAGCTGTGAGCTACCACATGGTTGCTGGGAACTGAGCCCACGTCCTCTAGAAGAACACCTGGTGCTCTTAACCACTGAGCCATCTCTCCTTCCCCTAACTGCTGCTTTTAATTAGAACTGAATTTGTGGGTGTGAAAGTCTAGCTGTATTATTAAAACATTTTTTTTTTTCATTTTAGAAATAACGTATTTTATTATAGAGAACGTAAGAGATGGAGTGAAGAGTTCCTGGATAGCAGGAGAGGTCCCTGGAAGTAGGGTAACACTTAGCGGCTAGTCTGGGGCCTTTTTAGAGGACTGATGGTGAGAACTGGGGTGAGGTGTGGGGAGGGGGATGAGCTGGTCAGTCCGGTTGGCTTGCCCACCGTGTCCAGGGGAGTCCCTGCTTTCAGTCACTTCTGTAGCCATAGCTAGCCTTGCTGGAGGCAGCAGTGACCGAAAACCAGGAAGCCGGGAGCAGAGGACACTCCTTGTGTCCCTCCTCCAGCCAGGACATTCTCGTAGCTGCGGCTTTGGGGTCCCTGCCCTGCGTGGCCTGTTCCTACCTCCTATTCTCATCCCCCTGCCCCAAGGGGGGCTCTAACTCCCTTTAGGGAATTTGGGTAGCTATCAATCTGGCTTCTTTGAGTTGAGTGGATTGTCAGGTGGGCAGTTGGTGTACCCCTCCAGTGGGCCCCGTCTAAGGGAACTTGAGAGTTCCTCAGTAGGCTCCATTTGTTCCACAGATGGATTAGTGAGGGTCCTTGACTGGTTCCTGGATAGTAACGTGATGGGGGGTTGGGGGGGGGAGTAAAGGATTAGGGAGAAATGGATCAGGGGCACTTGCATGGAGGAAACAATTCCCTTCCAGTGGGAACAGGCAGGAATTTCTACAGCTCAGCATTACAAGCTCTAGGCAGAGGACCAGGACAGGGCTGAAAAGAAGGGCATGTTAAAATGTTTGAATCAAAACCCATTAGCGTCCTTAAAAGGTTCAGGCTGCATCCATTTGTGACTGGCTCGGTGGACTTTTTTTCCTCTGGCCTTCAAGGCTTGACTGGAGAGTGATGAACCCAGACTCAACCTTCCAGCCTTTCTGACAGCTGGAATGGCTGGAATAACAATGTGAGGTCTCTTCCCGATGGGTTCTCCCTTCAGTTCCTGCTCAGGAAATCATCAAGACACGGGAAATACTGGGGCGTCTCTGAATTTGATGGAGGCCTTTCTTTTGCCCAAGGTGGGCTTAGATAGGGGGCTAGAGGAAACTGGAAAGCCACCAAAGCCACCCTGAGCCAGCAGGTTTCAAGGTCTGTTTGTTTGTTTCTAGACTATGTAGCCCTCGCTGGCCTGGAACTCCTTTGAAGATCAGGCTGACCTTTAACTCACAGACATCCGCCTGCTTTTGCCTCTTGAGTTCCGGGATTCAAAGTGTGTCCCACCGTGCCTGACGACTTTCAGGTTATCTCACAAATGTGTGGCCCACAGGAGGCGACTTTTATAAGTTTAAGTCTTTTATTATAGGGAGGGGGAGAGCAGGCAGGGCTCCTGTCCAGCAGGAGTAGGTCCCAGGAAATAGGGCACCCCAGCCGGGTTCACTCGATGGACATGAAGACTTGTTGGTATGTGACCACCTTTGCTCCTCCCTTTCTGTGGTCAGCAGCAGAATATTCTAAAGACTCTGAAGCTCAACTGGCGTAAGTTCAAATCCTGATCCCACCCTGGGCCAGCAGCATGACCTTAGGCAAATTGTGTCACCCATCTGTGCCTGTTTCCTAATAAGTGCAAAGAGCATAAGTGAGATAACATGCCTTCCAGGGCTGTGGTGTGGACCAAAGGAACCTTCTGTTAGACAGACTGAAGGAAGCACCATGGTGGCACACGTGGGTATATTCCAACACACAAAAGACTGAGGCAGGAGGACTGCCATGATGAGCGCAGCCAGGGCTACATAGGAAGACCACATCTCAAAATCATACAAGCAGAGGAGGGCCCTGAGTACCTGGAACTGGGTGGCCATGATGGATATGTAAATGCAGCTGTGATTACTGCTGGCTAGTATCCAAGACCACTCAGACCTCTCCTGTGCCATGTTATATAAAGGTCCTCTCGGCCTTTCTTTTCTCGCTTTCTTTGCTTTTTTTCTGGGCTTATTTGTGTGTATGAATGTTTTGCCCACTCACATGTAAATGCAGCGATGTGTATGCAGTACCTGTGGAGGACAGAGGAGGGACTCAGATCCTCCGGAACTGACAGACTGTTGAGCGACTATGTGGGTGCTGGGAATTGAACCCCAGTCCTCTGGGAGATCAGTACTGCTCTTAACATCTGAGCCATCTCTTCAGCTCCATGCCTTGCTTCTTGTGCTCCCTGCCATACGCCCCCTGTGTTCCTAGCCTCTTTGCAATGCTTTTTGAGATGAACCCGTGACCCCCGATCCCCCACCACCACCCAGAACACACAGTCCAGTTCTCCATGGCTCCTGACTACGCCTTGCACAAATCCAATCTGCCTTGACCCTGACCCTGAACTCCCAATCCCAGGGAACATTCTTCCCCCTGACTGAGGGGAACTGGAGCCTCTTCAACAGGGCAGTGGAGCCACAGTTGGAGGAGGAGGAGCGGATGGTGTATGTGGCCTTTTCTGAGTTCTTCTTTGACTCTGCCATGGAGAGCTACTTCCAGGCGGGAGCCCTGCAGCTGACGCTTGTTGGCGACAAGGTATACCAGGCTTGTCTGTGGCTGGGTAAGAAGGGCCCATGATGGAGAGGCCAACAACCCTGTCTCATTCCTAATTCCCCTGTTCAGGTGCCAAGTGACCTGGACATGCTTCTGAGGGCCACCTACTTTGGGAGCATTGTTCTCCTGGTGAGTATTGGCTAGAGGCAGGGGAGTGGCTGGGGTTGGAGGTCACTTCACCTACACAACAGTGGAGGATACAGTTGGAGATCTCCAGCGCTGGCCATAGAGAAAACAGAAGGCCTGATCTTTTGCCTGTGGCCAAGTCCCTTCACCTTGCCAAGCCTATTTCCCACTCTGTGAAGCAGGGTTGGCACTTCCTGTCCTGTCCCCTTCACAGAGCAGCTGTGAGGTTGGGAGAGAACCCAAGCCTTCCAAGTGTAGGGGCCTTCAGGGTGGTTAGTACACTCATTTACTTGCTTTTATTTAATGGGGCAGGAGAGAGGGAATGAAAACCCTTAAAAACAGGTTTAGGGATACAACTCAGTTGGTAAGATGCTTGCCTCTGAGTTCTATCCCCAGTCTACAAACATTTTTAAAAAATATATACTCCGTGGGGCTGGAGAGACGGCTTAGTGGCTCAGGGCACTTACAGCTCTCAAAGAGAAGCCAGGGTTTGGTTTCCAGCACCTACACAGTAGCTAACTGTCTGTAACTCTAATTCAAGAGGACCCAATGCCCTCTTCTGGTCTCTGAGGGTACTGCATACATATGATATACAGACCGACAATTTTCTAAGTGACAGGAGTTTGAGTCCCAGTGACTTCAGGTCACGCGGGCCTCCTCTACACACATAACTGTAGCTGGAAGTTTTCCTGTGTCCTGCCCGGCCCTGAGGTCCCACAGCTGCTTATAAAATAATCACTCAGAGGCTTAATATTAATTACCAACTGTATGGCCTATGGCAGGCCTCTTGCTAGCTAGCTCTTTCATCTTAAATGAACCCATTTCTATTAATCTGTGTATCGATACGTGTTCCTTGGCTTGACCTGTGTCCCATTACATGCTGCTCCTTGGATGGCGGTTTGGTGTCTACCCTTACTGTCCTTTCTCCTTTCACTGTCTCTCTTGGATTTTCCCGCCTGAGGCCATCTTGCCCTGCCATAGGCCAATGCAGATTATTTATCAACCAATCAGAGCAACACATATTCACAGCGTATAGAAAGACATCCCACAGATTGTCATGAGTTTTCTTTTTTTGTTTGTTTGTTTTACAAGACAGGGTTTCTCTTGTGTAACAGCCAGGGCTATCCTGGAACCTGGAACTCACTCTGTAGACCAGGCTGGTCTTGAACTCAGAGATCTGCCTGCCTCTGCGTCCCCAGTGCTGGGATTCAAGGCATGCACCACCACTGCCTGTCTGCTCATGAGTTTCCAATGAAGTAACACCATGTAATTAGAACAGCACTTGCTATGGAGTACATGTTCAACAAAACAGCTGTTGCTGTTACTACGGTCATCGTCACGGTCAATGCAATGGCTGAGTAGTTACACGCAAGACTGTATTTCCAGGCTGTCTGTCAGCTCTGCAGCTGAATAACCACACAGCCTTGCACAACCTTGGTCTGTCTGCCTCAGTTCCCTGGAGGGAATGATTCAGTTAGCAAAGTGCTTGCCTTAACTATGAGGACCCGAGCTTGGATCTCCAGCACCCATGTTAAAAGCTGGGAGAAGCAGCCGGTCACAGCTCTGGGGAGGATACAGGAGGATCCCTGGGGCTTGCTGGTCAGCTAATCCAGCTGAATCAGCGGCGAGCTCCAGGTCCAGTGGGAGGCCCTGTCTCAAAAAATAAGGTTGGAAGTGATAAAGAAAGACACCAAAGTTGACTGTAGCAAGAACATACGTTCATGCACCCACATGTGTGCACACACATGCACACCACAGGCACATACACAAAATAAGGATAATAATACCTGGCTCGTTTGGTTGTTCAAGACTTAAGTGAGCTACTGTGTATGTATGCTGTGTTCAGAATTATACTTAAGGGAATGTTTGTTTTTGAGACTGGATGTCATGTAGCCCAGGCTGGCCTCAAATTTGAGATATATATATATATATATATATATATATCAATGTGAACCCCTGAACCTCTTGCCTCTACCTCCCAAAGACTGGGATTACAGGTTTTGCTACCACACCTGGCTCAGAATCACGTTTAGCAATGAGTAAGCACACTCATTTAATAGTGTTACGTGGCCTGTCGAGCAGCTCAGAGATGAGGAGGCAGGGTTTGGCATGTTTATGCAAAAAGGTCATCCCTGGGGAGTCCCAACTGGGATTTGATTCTGGATTAAATGTAGAGGAGGAAGGAAGGGGGAGTCAGGTGTGGGTACTATAATTTCAGCTCTTGAAGGCTGGAGTCGGAGGAGCTCTGGAGTCCAGGGTTTCAAGACCAGCCCAGCAACATAGCGAGAGCCCATGTCAAAAGAGAAGGAAGGAAGGAAGGACACTATTTTGACCAACTCATGGGGGCTGGGTGTAGGTCAGAAGGGCGTGGGGTGATGCCACACAGGTCTGTACTTGCAATCCCTTGCTTCCCACCCTCCCCAGTGCTCACCAGGTAACAGTCTGGGGTTGTGACCTGCCTTCCTCGCTCTGTCCCCAGAGCCCCTCAGTGATTAACTCCCCACTGAAGCTGAAGCTGCAGGCCACGAGTCCTCCGCGTTGCACCATCAAGCCCTCGGGCACCACCATCTCCGTCACCGCCAGTCTCACCATCACCTTGGCCCCGCCCATGCTGCCGGAAGTCGAGCTGTCTAAGATGATCATGGTATGGGCCCCAGAATGAGGGTGCCTGGGGGGTCAGTGGGAAGTGGGCCGTGAACCTTTCCAGTCCGTCATGTCTCCTCGTGTCCTTCTTCAGGAAGCCCGTCTCAGTGCTAAGATGACACTCCGAGGCAAGGCGCTGCGAACGAAGCTGGACCTCCGCAGGTACGCAGTCGATAAGGAGCCCGGGCGGGCCTCCTGAGTCTTAACATCTCCAGGGTAGTGACACCTGCCCAGCAGAGCCGTGGGGCTAAAACTGAGCTGCTCCTGTAAGCCTCCGACCAGCTGGGGGCTGACCTTGTTAGTACGTACAAAATTGAACTGGGTGTACATGCCTTTAAACACAGAACACAGGCAGGAGGATCTCTGTGAGTTTAAAGTCACTCTAGTCTACACAGTGAGTTCCAGGCTAGCTAGAGTTATATAGTGAGACCCTGTCTCAAAATGAATGAATGAATAAAGAAGATTTTAACTCGGGGCTGGAGAGATGGCTCAATGGTTAAGAGCACTGGCTGATTTTCCAGAGGACCCAGGTTCAATTCCCAGCACCCACACGGCAGTTCATAACTGTCATAGCTCCAATTCCAGATGATCTGGTACCTTCATAGACATACATGCAGGTAAAACACCAATGCACATAAAACAAAAATAAATAAATCTTAAAAATAAAAGAAGATTTTAACTCAAAGAGGCAGAGATGGTTCATGTGGTAAAGTGCTTGCCTTGCAAGCACAAGGACCCGAGTTTGAATCCCTAGACTCCCTGGGGAAAGCTGAACGCGGTGCCTTTAATCCCAGTGATGATGACCAGACGTAGGTGGATCCTTGGGAGCTCACATGAGAGCTAGCCTGGCCTATGTGATGAGATTCCAGGCCAAGGAAAGACCCTGTCTCATACAAGAGGTGGGAGGCACCTAAGGACCAAGACCCTGGAGGTTGTCCTTAGGACCTCCACATGCATGCCGTGTACACACATACCCACACCTACCCATCCACAATCTATCTTACTATGTAGCCGATGATGATCCTGCTTTCATCTCGGAGTGCTGGGATCACAGGCACACACCACCATGTCCTGTTTATACAGAGCTCAGGAATTGAACCCAAGGCCTAGGGCATGCTAGAGGACAACACTATACCAACTGAACTACATCTCCCCCACCCCCAAAGTGCTTTGATTTTTTTTTCCTTTGAGACAAGGTCTCACTATGTAGTATTGGGTGGACTGGCACTCGGTGTATATACCAGGCTGACCTCAAAGTCAAAGAGATCTGGTTCCCGAGTGCGAGGATTATAGGCATGTGTCACCATTCCTGGCTAACAGTGATTTCTTCAGGCAGTTCCTCTGCACTCTCCCAGCATCTGGAAACAGGCAAAGCAGGTATTATTAGAGACCAGCAAATTGGTTCAGTAAGGTCAATGACACACCCGCCCTCACACAGCGAAGAGAAGGGAAACACTGGCTAGGGCCTCCACCTCTGCTCAGCGAGTGCCGTTGAGACCTTGAAGGAAGTCATTTTTATCTTTCCAAGGCTCATTTCCTGCTGTGCTACATAGTGGGGGGGGGGGGAATACCGTCTACTCTCTAGGGCTGAGTATTTAGCGTCGTTCCCCTGGCCATGTGCAACTCTGCATGTGGAGAGTCATAATGAAACAGCACTTAGGCTGCAGTCACAGTTCATTAACTAGTTAGTGGCTATACAGTGCAGAGACAGGTCACTCCTAAGGTTGAACAACCTTAGGCTCCGAGGCTGCAGTGAGCCAAGGCTGGGGAGCGGGGAAGTGGGGCCTTGGAATCTAGAGGCGGGGTCTAGTCCACACAGCCACGTGACTTGAGTCACCCCTCCAGCTTCAGTTTCCTCATCAGCGACAAGCAATTTCTGAAAGTCCCAGATTCTCAGGGCTGTGAGTGAGGACTGAGTCACTCTGTGTGGACAGTGTTGCCGCTTGGCCAGGTAATTCTAGCACCCAGGAAGCTGAGGTAGGAAAATTGCAGTGGGTTTGAGGCCAGCCAAGGCTAACCCTGTCTCAAAACATCATCAACAAAACATCCCAAGGACTGGAGAGAGAGCTCAGCTGAATGAATTCAGGGACGAGGACCTCAGTTTGATGCCTAAAACCCACCTAAAAACCTGGGTTTAGAGACAATGGCTTGTCGCCCCAGCACTGGGGAGAACGCAGAAGGATGCCTGGGGATCCCCAGCCCCCTGGCCTAACCCAGGAGCTTCAGGCCAATGAGAGATTCTGTCTCAAAACAAGACGGTGGATGGTGTATGTGGAAAAATGACCGAGTTTGACCGCCAGCCTCCACGTGCACATGTGCATACACACCCCTATACACATGTGCACCTTTACCCATGCAAACACACACACACCACATGTATGTGCCAGCAGCATATGTATGTATGTATGTATATTTATGTGGCCTTGGGAATGGAACTGGGCTTTATAAACGCTAGGAAAGGGCTCTGCATCTCCAGCCCAGCATTTCAGGGTTCTTTTTTTTCTTTCTTTCTTTTTTTAACCCTCTTCTTGAGACAGGATTTCTCTGTGTAGCCCTGGCTGTCCTGGAACTCGCTCTGTGGATCAGTCTGGCTTTGAGCTCAGAGATCTGCCTGCCTCTGCCTCCCAAGTGCTTTTTTTTAGAGACAAAGTCTTCACATGTAGGCCAGGTTGACCTAGAATTCACAGAGATCCTCCTGCCCTCTGCCTCCCGAGTGCTGAGATTAAAGGCAGGGTGTTGGGATTAAAGGCCTGTGCCTCTGGTGGCTCCCAATTTTATTTTTTAAGGCTTATTTTTAGTCGTAGTTTGTTTTTAATTATATATATGTGTGTGAGAGTGTGGGTACATGCATGGGAGTTCGGGTGCCCAGAGGCCAGGAGCACTGCTCCCCTTGGAGCTGGAGCTCCAGGCAGGGGTACACTGTCTGAGATGGGTGCTGGTACCCTAGAGCAGTATGTGTTCTTCCTCTCTCCAGCCCCCTAGTTGTTATTTATATGTGTGTTGTGTGTGTAAATGCCATGTGTGCATGGGTGTCCGAAGAGGTCAGAAGAGTGCTTCAGATGTCCTGAAGCTGGAGTTACAAGCCATGTGAGCTGCCAGACACGGGTGCTGGGAATTGAACTCAGATCCTCTGGAAGAGTAGGAAACACTCTTAACCTCTGAGCCACCTTCCAGTATTGTGCCCCCAACTCCTTTTTGATAGGTCTCACGATGTAGACCAGGCTGGTCTGAGACTCAAAGAAAACCTCCTGCCTCAGCCTCCTGAGTGCTGGTGTTAAGAGAGCGAGACACCAGCCTGACTAGCTTTTCTTTTTACAATTAATTTGCATATGTGTGCTCCTGTGTGCACATGCACTTCTGTGTGTGGGTAGTCGGGTGCCATGGAGTGCACTGATGTGGTCATTGGACAATCTGTGGGAATCCATTGTCTCCTCTATCACGTGTCCCCAGGGGTCAGACTCAGGCTTGGTGGCAGGTGTCCTTACCCCCACACTGTGCCCTTTTGCAAGTCCTTTTTTTTTTTGGTTTTTCGAGACAGGGTTTCTCTGTAGCTTTGGAGCCTGTCCTGGATCTCGCTCTGTAGCCCAGGCTGGCCTCGAACTCACAGAGATCCGCCTGGCTCTGCCTCCCGAGTGCTGGGATTACAGGCGTGCGCCACAACCGCCCGGCGCTGCAAGTCCTATTTTAATCTTTTGAATAACCTTAGTATCTATCTGACAGGGAGTCAACATTGTGAATGTCATTGGATAAAACAAACCGTACTTGCTGACCTAGTCTGGCAAGTAGGCATTCTTGACCGATGATAAGTAGCAGACTTAATGAAAAGGGACTCCAAGGAGTCCCTCAGGGATGCACCCCTGGGCAACGGCAGCTACGTGGAAAGTGGAACGATGACTCGGTGGGACCAGGAAGGATGACACCTGGGGCCATCTTTTAGGTAGGGACGAAGGAAAGGATGTTCCCAGGTTACATGGACACAGGGCACGTTTCTCTCTTACAGGTTTCAAATCTACTCGAATCAGTCTGCGCTGGAGTCTCTGGCAGTGAGTTGGGAATGGCAGTGGGTGGGTCCGGGCCCTGGGGCAGGCTGGCAGCTCACACAAACCCACCACCCATTCCTGTCTGTGCCTTTTCCCCTCAGCTGATCCCACTGCAGGCCCCGCTGAAGACGCTGTTGCAAATTGGAGTGATGCCCATGCTCAATGGTGAGGGCTGAGGGTGTGAGGAAGGATGGGGGAGTGGCTCAGCTAGGGGGAACCCCGCTGAGCTTGCCTCTCCCACCCACAGAGCGGACCTGGCGTGGGGTGCAGATCCCCCTCCCCGAGGGCATCAACTTTGTGCGTGAGGTGGTGACGAACCACGCTGTAAGTAGACTGTGTGGGAGGGAGGATGCACACCAGGGCCTTCCCCTCCCCACACCCCAGTGCTATCTGCCCCCAAAGCCTCTTCTCCTTCCTATTTTTTTTTTTTTAAAGTAGTAAGGAATTTTACTCAGAAGCAAAGCCGAGGTATAGAGGAGACACACGGCAGAGGAGCTGGGGCCCCTGAGATTTGCCGAGTCTTTTTGGTGTTTGTTTGGAAAGGCTGCCTCCAAACTCCTGAAGGAGTGAGTGAGACTCCCTGTCCCCTTCCCAGGGCTTCCTCACCGTTGGGGCTGACCTCCACTTTGCCAAAGGGCTTCGAGAAGTGATCAACAAGAGCCGCCCGGCCATCGTTGTGGACTCCAGCGTCCCTCCACCCTCCATAGCAGCTGCCTGAGTCCTTCGTCCCACCCGGGAGCTGGCGTTGAGGAACTGAGTCTTCTCAGAAGCAGCCCTTCCCCCTTCCCATCCACAGCCAGTAGTGTTCCCAGTGCCACAGAGAATTCGGTTTGAAGCTGTACCCGATTTAATTTCATGATCAGTCAACCGACAATTACAATCCATCCACCCCTCTCCATGGGCTGCCCTAGAGCTCTGTTGGGGTCCTGGGACGGGGCATTCATTCAGGTCGGGGGAGGCCAGGCCACTGCACTGTGGCAGGGGACAGAGTGCTCACTGCCCCTAGGCTGTCTCTGTGAAGCCGAGGCCCAGGCTGGGATGCACAGGGCTGTGGGAAGTCAGAGACAAGGTTAGAGCAGGACCTGCCCCACAGGGGCATTTTCCATAAAGGAGGACCTCTCCATTGAGAGAGGCTGGGAGGGGCTGAAGGAGGTACGGAGGACTCCCGAGGGTCTCTTCAGTACGGTTCCTTGTTCAGGAAACGAGAGAACATGGTGAACGCAGCTCGGGGTTTGTCCGTGGGAACCATGTGTCCAGCACCCTGGGGAGCAACGCTTTATGAGATTTGGATCCCCAATATTTATCACCCTTCACCCCTGGTATTTCATCCCAAGACCTTTCTTCTCCTCTTCACCCTGAAAGCCTGCCCTGATGCGCTATCAGTGACCCAGAAGAAACAAAAGCCGGAGGGTAAAGATGGGAGGTCCCCCCCCATTCCCTCTGGCCTCAGCGTCCCTCACTAGGCTCAGAGTCCTACCTTGAGGGTGAGGAAGGTGATGTGGGAGAACTCCTTCACAAAGCCGGCTACCTGCTCTCCACTCTCCCCGTAATCCACTAGCCAGGGCCGGCGCTGTACCTCCATCTGTCCCATCAGGGAGACATCAGCCAGTGGGTCCCGCCATCCTTGTTCACAGCTGCCCTCAAGACCTCAGGACTGGAGAGTCCTCCAGGTTTGCCCTCTGCAGACTACAGTCACTCCTGGCATACCCGCCCCCACCACCCAGCACAAACTTACCTTCTGGTTGAGGGAATCCACAAACCACTCATCCCCCATGAAGTTGCAGGCCATGTCCACATCGCCATTATATAGTAGGATCTGGTATTTCTGGAGTAGGAGAAGGGGAAAACAGGAGTGTGGTTTAGGCCCAGGCCCTCAGCCCTTTCCTGGTTTAAGCCCTACCTTCCTGGGTATTCAGAAGCCCAGCTAATAACAGGAACCTGAAATTCTCATGTTTTCTGATTGCATATTACACGTCCAGTAAGCACCAACCAGACGCTTTTACTATATAGGGAGGAAGATATCCCCATACCCCAAATGAGACAGTCTCATCATGAGCCCAGACTGGCTTAGAACTTGAGGTTTCTCCTCAGTCTCCCCAGGGCTGGGCTTACATGTATGACTCACCATGCCCAGCTTATTAGGCTCATTTTTACAGACAGAAAATGCAGCTGAGAACGCCTATGACACTTTCCCAGAGCTGGGCGTGTTGGCACACACCTCTAATCTCGGTACTGAGAGAGGATTGCTGTGTTCAAAGCTAGCCTGGGCTACATAGCAAGACAGAGTCTCGGAATAACGACATAAAATAACCAGGTGGGGGTGGGGTGGGGGCAAGCTCTAACGGGGCGCCCCACTTGACATGTTGCCCTAGAGCTTACAGCTACCGTGATGTAAAGCTGTGGCTGGCTCCTGCTATGCTGTGCCCACATACCTGTGAGCTGAGCAGCTTCAGGTACTGGGAGTTCATGCTCTGGTAGAGACGATGGTACTGTAAGTTCACCACGAAGCTGCGGGGAGCACGTGCACAGGACACGGAAAAAACAAGAACAGAGGAGGACAGTCAACAGTCGCCCCTTTCCAGTTCCCAACTGTGGGTAGACCACCTCTCTTGGACTTATCTGAACGGAGCTGGCATTCAGAGATTCTCAAACCACCCAACTTGGAGATGTGTGGGAGCATCCTTTGGTTGTTACAATGGCTGGGATACAGCTGGCATTTAGTGTGTAGGGCCCAGCAGGTGTGACAGAAACAGAAGGCAATGACAGAGTAGAGCATTGGGCACTGACCAATCAGGAAAGACCTCACCAGGTTCTGACGAGCTAGGGTTATCACTTGAAGGGGTCACAGAATGAACTGAGCAGCTCTGGGTGGCAATGGAGTGGCAGGTGGGACGGTGCCTACTCACCAAATGTCAGACAAGGATCTGAAATTAACCATTGTGGCTACTTCCAAGTTAATTGTCTGAATGCCAGTCAAGATGGAGGTCAAGGCCTTTAAACACCCTGCACAACTAATTTTCACCCTGAATGTCCACTCCCCCCGCTTGAGGAGCCCTAGCTGTGAACCCTGTGAACCCTGCTGATGCCACCTCCTGAACCACGAGTGGCCACAGAAGCTCACTTGCACATGTCCCAGCGGGGCAGCTTCTCAGGGATGTGGAGGGCCTTCCGAACATACGGGTTGTTGAGGTAGGTAGAGGGGGCTGTGGTGTTGGTGCAGGGGGGATCCAAGCGTACCTTGTTCCCAGAACGCAGCAACAGTGCCTGGGGGCACAGACACAGGGTGAGGGCCTTTACTTATCTGCCACACCTACTCCCTGGGGAAAGTCCATGCCCCTGCATACCTGATGAAATGTCTTCTTGAGTGGCAGGCGAGTGAAGAGGTTGCCAAAATCCTGGATCACAAGAGTGTCTCCATACCTGGGGGGGAGTGGGAGGGAAGATGGGTGCTGGGCCTCTAGAGGCTGTTGGGATTGGCCCAAGGCATAACCAGCAGCACCTACCTATCACTGCCGGGCACCCCACCAGCACATGGGGCGTAGAGATTGTATATGTTGAGGCCAGATCTGCTCACAATTTGAGACACTTCCTGGAGCTGTGACAACATACCATTATGTTTTTTGGACCTCATGGTTCTCTATGACCTTACCCACTCCCCCTTAAGATTAACTGCTCTCCTACCTCATCTGCTGTCTCCACCCTTCACCCATTTTTTTTTTTCCCCACAGGGAGAGAGCCCAAAGCTCACTGGAAGCAATCTTCCAGGCCTGGGTCCAATCCTAGCACCACTGTTCCCTGCCATGTGACTTAAAGTAAGTGGCTTAAGCATCCTTGGAGATGACCAATCCTAGCAGAGACCACCGCAATGTCGGGAGGTCTGAGACAGAAGGGCTGTGGGGTGGGCTGGAGCTACAGCCCAGTTGGTAGAGTGCTTGTCTCGCATGCATGAGGCCCTGGGTTCAATCCCCAGTACCACCAAAGAGAGAGGCAATGGAGCTGGAGAGACGTGGGGTTCCTAAGGAGAGGAGTGAGCTGTCTCAGGACCAGAGCGGAAGGGCATAGGAGGGGCGGGACCTCACATTGTTGATGCATTCTTGGTCTCTGTTGTCGTAGAAGTTACACTTGTTCTCAGAGCAGCAGTGGGTCTGAAGCTGAGTCCAAAGCCTGTGGGGCCAGAAAGTGTGCAGGGGTGCTGAGAGATCCCTCCAACCTCTCGTCAGACCCTGACCCCAGGGGAGAAGAAAGATAAGACAGAGGGTATGGTGTGCAGGCTAGCAAACCCAATCCCCGAGAACCTGCCCCTTAGTCCACACAGAGAGCCCTCCTCAGGGCCTTTTTAGAAAGAAAAAAAAAATAAACGTTTTTGAGACCAGGTTTTTCTAAGTAGTCTGGGTTCAAGTTAGACCAACACTCACTATGTAGCCCAGCTGCCCGTGTCCAAGTGCTGGCTTACGGGTGTTTATCACCATGCCCAGCCGCCTTAACTGCCTGTAAATCTTCGTCTCTATTCCTGGCCTTTAAGCATCAAACTGTTTGGCCAACCCTACCTACTCATAAACTAGAGCAGGAATGTCATGTGCCGGAGGACAGCGCTAAGATCTCATGACTTGCCCCACCCTTGACATTGCCCTCTCCCATACCTGTTCCCCAGAAGACCATGGTAGTAGGCAAAGTAGACCAGAGAGTTGTCATTCTGTTCATAGGAGGCAAGTCCATTGCCCACAGCCAGCCCCTGCGAAACACCCAGGGTTCTCGGTTCTTCTGAAGGGTGAGAATGAGGGGGACCCTCCCTTGACCTCCACCCAGACCTGCAATCTAGAAGCTGACATCCGGAGTGGTGTGTGGGGGTGGCAGGCGGGGGAGGCCAGCCAATCGAAAGAACCTAAGTGGTAGCCTGGCAGCTGAGTTTCCGGTAGTAGGAGGCATGCAAGCTGACAGAGCAGTCAAGGGCCAACTCGTGGGCTAGGAGGGAGCACCCAGGCTGACCTGACTAACCCAAGGTCACGGCCCCAAGGCGTCCCCCTTCCCTCCGGCAGCTGCCTTGCACCTGGAGGTTCATGCTGGGGTCCTGCATGACCAGTACAGCCAACGTGGGGATGTAGATGCCAGCATAGCTCTCTCCCGTCAGGAACAGTTTGTTGTTCTTGTACTCCGGGAAGAGGCGGAAGAAATCCTTAAGAGCTTCAAAATTGTTCTGAGCCACCTGGGGATGGGGAGATGGAGGAGTCAGGAGACCTGATGTTTACGCTGTAAAGATCTTCAGAGATGAGTCCAACCCACTTTATTTTGTGCAAGAGGAAGTGACTTTGTTAGGAGCCTACCACAGAGCCTATGACAGAGCCAAAAGTGGACTGTGAGGCCATGCCCTCCCCCGCCCCCACTGTGCCACCTTTGGGGAAATGGGGAGAATGTGCAGGCAGGCAGGCAGGCACCAGACTCACCTCCGTGTCATTGGTCACATATGTCTTGTCATCCGAGTAGGAAAAGCCCACTCCAGCTGGGGACTCGATATACAGCATGTTGGCAATCTAGAGGGAGGAGGGAGTGAGCAGAAGAGGCTCCCCACCCCTTCAAGTACCCAGACACCCCCACAAGACCCACAGCTGCAGATGTACCAGGTTCCAAGAATAGGGGTTGTACTCCAGGGTGATGCCATCTGGCTGGATCTAGGGAGGAAAGACACAACTGTGTGAGTCCCAGTCAGCCGCTGGGTGGAAAGAGCCACACCGCTAGGTTCTTTACATATTGCCACACTCGTAGAGAGGTACAGAAAGGTAGTCAAGGGTCAGAGAAAACAAAACAAAATAGAATTGGGGTTTTTCTTGTTGTTATTGAGACAGAGTTTCTCTGTGTAACAGAGCAGTCCTAGAACTCGCTCTGTAGACCAGGCTGACCTTGAACTCAGAGATCCGCCTGCCTCTGCCTCCTGAGTGCTGGGATTAAAGGTGTGTGCCATCACCACCCAGCTCAAATTGTTAACAAAGAAAACAAACGTGGGAAGCCACAGGTTCCTTCTTCCTCCCTCTTTCTGCCCTTTCCTTGTTTCCTGCCTCTCCCGAGTCTCCCGCCCTCTCTCACAGCGGGAGAGGACAGAGGTCAACTCACCAGGAAGGGGCCGTGCTCCGTAAGGAACCCATCTAGGGAGCTGCAGCCAGGACCCCCGTTGAGCCAAAGCACTACGGGGCTGTTCTTTGGGTCTTTCTGCGACTCCACAAACCTAGGAAGGGGACAGGGCAGGATTGATACAAGTAAGAGACCCTGTCCTGCCTGGGGTCATCAGAACTCGCCCGCCCAGTTACCATGCCCTCCTCGGTAGGCAGGGCCGCATACCAGTAATGGAAGTGCTTGGAATCCGAGGCTCTGAGGTAGCCGGAGTACTGCTCGAAAGCGGGCTGCTTGGCCAGGCCGGGGAGGCAATCGATTTTATCCTGATCCGGAGCTGCTTCGCCCCGGGACATCCAGGACACGAGCAGCAGCAAGAGCAGTGGAGACAGCGCGGCTCGGAGCATCTGCGGGAGGAAGCATCGGCAGAGGATGTTTACCGGTCTCCCCGCTCCTTGGCCCTTTGGTGCAGCAGTCCCAGGGGAGGAGCTGGTGCGCATCTCCCCGGGAAGCCCTCACCCGGGTTCAGCTCCCGGCCCCAGAATCTCGTTCACTGCCCATCAGCCCGGGAATCTCCTTACCTCTGCTTCCCTGCGTCCTTGCTCTCCAGGAGGCGCCGGTGGACTGGAAGTCATGTGTAGGCCTAGTCACGTGAACTTCTGCATCACGTGACAGTTTGCTCATGTCCACTTTTTTGTCTGCGGGCCTGAGGGTCGGGAGCGGTCAGTTACCTGGTCAAAGTGCACTGCCCCGCGGATTAGTAGCTAGGGTGTCAGAGATCAGATGATCTTGGTGTTGACAGCAAGGTTTCCCAGACTCCTGGGGACATGTTACTGGCGAGATGCCAAGAAGCGGCGCTAGGACCCCCGGGCTGAGCAGGGGTTAGGTAGGCAAAGGGGAAATGCCTTACATGGTCCCCCCGCGGTCACCATCTGAGCCTGCCGCCCAAAATAGCCCTTGACATGAGCTTGCTTGCCTCATGGCGGCGAGATGGCTGCTGCCTCCGAACTCGTAGGGTTGGGTGACCCATGGGACCCTGTGCGCCCGGAGCCCCCTCCCACCCGCTTCCATCATGTGCACGGAGCCAACATCCGCGTGGACCCGTCGGGGACGCGAGCCACACGCGTGGAGAGCTTCGCCCACGGTGTGTGCTTCAGTCGCGAGCCCCTTGTCCCGGGCCAGGTATTCCTAGTGGAGATAGAGGAAAAAGAACTGGGCTGGTGCGGGCATCTGCGTCTTGGCCTGACCGCTCTGGATCCGGCCACTCTGGCCGCTGTGCCTGAGTTTTCACTGCCTGACCTGGTCAGCCTTGGCCACAGCTGGGTCTTCGCCATCACACGCCACCACAACCGCGTGCCCCGGGAGGGTCAAGCAGATGCAGAGTCAGCGGCCCCCAGCCGCCCCCAAGCCCTCTTGGTTGAACCCTACCTGCGCATCGAGCAGTTCCGAATACCCCGGGACCGCCTGGTGGGCCGCAGCCGGCCAGGGCTCTATAGCCACCTCTTGGACCAGCTCTATGAACAAAACGTGCTGCCTCCTACAGCGCGTCGTAGCCGCCTGGGTGTTCTCTTCTGCCCGCGTGAGGATGGGACCGCCGACATGCACATCGTCATCAACGGGGAAGACATGGGCCCCAGTGCCCGGGGGCTGCCCGCTGCCTGGCCCCTCTACGCTGTGGTAGATGTGTTTGCCTCCACCAAGAGTGTGCGCCTGGTCCAACTGGAGTATGGCTGTACGTATTCCATCCCTGTGCTCAGTGTAGGACCCCTCCTGGCTCAGTGTAGGACCAGGCACCTGCTAGGACTCCACAGCCAGCTAGTAAGGATTACTTAGATTGTCCAGCACTAGTTTTGAAGATGGAGAATCTGGTTTCGCTTAGGGCGTCTGCTTGGGATTTTGCTCACATTGCTCTTTGGCTGTGGGCCTACTTCAGTACACTCATCTCAGCTGCTCGACTAAGACCCTACGGGTCCCTTTTAGTTTGGACGATGTTTCAATAGGGATTTTGTTTGTTTGATGTTTGTTTTTGTCCTGGAAACCAAGTCAGGGTCTCATGCACGCTAGGCAAACATTCTTGCTGTGTTGTACACACCAGCGCCTAAGACAGGGATTCTAAAACCAACTTTAGACCTGGGGCTTCTTGAGAATTTTGTGCATTTTTATTTTTCGTTTTCTGAGACCAATTCACTCCGTACCTCAGGCTGGTCTGGAACTTGGTAGTTCAGTCAGGCCTCAGACTTTCAGACAATCCTTTCTGTCTCAGCCTGCTGAGGGTTGGGATTAGAGTCACAAGCCACCACATTCAGCTATGCGTTGTGTCTTTCTTTCTTTCTTTTTTTTTTTTTTTTTGGTTTTTCCGAGACAGGGTTTCTCTGTGTAGCTTTGCGCCCTACCTGGATCTCGCTCAGTAGACCAGGCTGGCCTCGAACTCACAGAGATCTCCGGAGTGCTGGGACTAAAGGCGTGCGCCACCACCACCTGGCGAGTTGTATCTTTCTTAGATGTTCATAGATTTAGGACCTATCGGTTTAGAGCCATCACAGACCCCAGACTGAGAACTTTTTTTTTTTTTTTTTTTTTTTTTGGTTTTTCGAGACAGGGTTTCTCTGTGGTAGCTTTGCGCCTTTCCTGGATCTCGCGCTGTAGACCAGGCTGGCCTCGAACTCATAGAGATCCGCCTGCCTCTGCCTCCCGAGTGCTGGGACTAAAGGCGTGCGCCACCACCACCTGGCGAGTTGTATCTTTCTTAGATGTTCATAGATTTAGGACCTATCGGTTTAGAGCCATCACAGACCCCAGACTGAGAACTTTTTTTTTTTTTTTTTTTTTTTGGTTTTTCGAGACAGGGTTTCTCTGTGGTAGCTTTGCGCCTTTCCTGGATCTCGCGCTGTAGACCAGGCTGGCCTCGAACTCATAGAGATCCGCCTGCCTCTGCCTCCCGAGTGCTGGGATTAAAGGCGTGCGCCACCACCGCCCGGCTCCAGACTGAGAACTTTTAAATTCTGAGGTCTGGCTTATTGTAGCCCAGTAAACTTTTCACTTATACCTCTGGTCACGTGTCATGAATTTGTTGAGCTGGAACCTGCTCTGTACTGGGCTGTGAGTAAAGGCAGAAGGAGTTAGGCTGCGTTATAATGGAAGCAGGTGTGGTCAGAGTCTCAGGGACAGGTGTATATCAGCTGTACAAGCATCCCCACCAGGCAGGCTGAGCCTGAGCAGAAAGTCATTCCCAGGCTGATGGCAAATAAGGGACCGAGACGTAGATCTTCCCAGTCCTAGTGTTGACTCCCCGAGATTGACAGACATCTCTCCACAGTGCCGTCCCTGCAAACTCTGTGCCGTCTGGTGATCCAGAAGAGTGTGGTGCACAGGGTGGCCATTGATGGGCTCCAGCTGCCCAAAGGACTGAAGGATTTCTGCAAGTATGAATGAAGACCTGTGGCCACCGGAGCAAAGCCACAGAAGTGCATCCTGCTTCCAGAGCCGTGGCTAATCTGAAGCTGGCCACACGGCTAACAATCAGGGCGGGAAATAAGTAACTGGTATTGATGTTCTGAGCACTGGAGGTCTCCTTGCCTCTGCAGCCTTGGAAGAGGCACTTCTGGAGTCACCAGGTCAGAGAAAGTGTTTTAGAACCCATCTAGATCAGGGCTCCCTAGTGTGTATGTCCCTTTGAATTGTCTGGGGCACTTGGTGAGTGCCAATACACCGCACACGCCCCTCCATATTCTCCTTTGGTTTGTGGTTTGTCAGGGAATTAAACCCAGTCATCGTGGCTTTTTGTGTTGTCTTGTTTTAGACAAGGTCTTACCTGCAGCCTAGGCTGGCCATAGACTTCCATATTCTGAGATGAAAGGCGTGAGCCTCCATGCCTAACTTGACACTATTTTTTTGTAAAGGAGTCTCTTCAGAGAGTCTAATACATGGTCAGAGTGGAGAGGCATTTCACTAGATCAGAGGTTTCACCTTCGGAAAAGACTGTATTTAGTGTTTTGTTTTTGGTGTGTTTGAGACAGGGTCTTACTCTGTAGCACAGGCTGATCTTGAACTGTGGCAGCCCTCCTATCTCAACCTGAGAGTACAGGCATGGCCTCCTGGTTCTGGCTTCTGTCTTTCGCAGTACTAAGGATTGAGTTTAGTGCCCCATGCTTGCTGGATGAGTGTGTACCACCAAACCACAGTCCCCAGCCTCGCCCAACCCTTTAAAGGCAAGGTCTCAATGTGTGGCCCTCGCTGGTGTGAAACTCACAAAGACCTGCCTGGCTTTGCCTTCTGAATGCTGGGATTAAGGCGTGTACCACCATGCCCAGCTGCCAGCCCTCTTTTTATTCATCATTTAGGACAGAGTCTAAGTTCCTCATGCTGACCTCAAACTTGTGATCCCTCTGCCCCAGCTTCCCAGGTAGCTGGATTCCAGGCCTGTTCCATCAGGCCTGACTATACTGTCTTCAGGAACTTCAGAATATTGGTACAGAGGTCTGTCCCTGGGATTCTGTTAGCTGCTAAGATGGAGCAGGGCCCTAGTGTTCAACGTCTCCTAGAGCCTGTGCTGGCCACCAATGACCTGGACCAACCATGTCACTATGCCTGGTTCTAGCAAATAATTTAAAATCAACAACAACAACAAAACAAGCCAGGGTCAGGCTGGAGAGATGGCTCAGTGGTACACTAATAAACTTTGAAGATCAGAGAACAGAGCAAGCTACTAGATTAAATATAGAAGCCAGGCAGTGGTGGCACACACCTTTAATCCCAGGAAGTGATGGCCAGACAGAGAAAGGTATATAACGAGTGAGGAGACAGGAACTAAAGCCTTCTCGGCTGAGGAAGCTCATTCGGCTAGAGGCCCATCGGCTGAGCTCTTTCAGGCTGAGGAGCTGGCGAACGAAGTAAGAGGTGGTGGCTGTGGCTTGCTCTGCTTCTCTGATCTTTCAGCTTTCACCCCAATATCTGGTTCAGGGTTTTATATTATAAGACAATTTAAGATTCGAACAAGTTAAGAGTACTAGCTGTTCTTCCAGAGGTCTTGACCTGAGTTCAATTCCCAGCACCCACATGGTGGCTCAAAACCATCCATAATGGGATTTGATGCCCTCTTCTGGCATTCAGACACTCCTGCAGATAGAGCACTCATATACATAAATAAATCAATCTGGGGAAAAAAACCAGGAGGGTCACCTGTAATCCAGTTTGCCTTCCAACTTGCTATAAATGGATAATGATCTTGGATTTCTGATCCTCCTGCCTCTACCACCTGAATGTTGAGATCACAGGCATGTGCCCTATGCTCGGTTTATGTGGTAGCGAATGATTGGATACCTTGACTCATACCGTAAGGCACAAGCACCAGGCTCATTTATTTGTATCTCTGGTTATTAGCTTCCACAGGGACAATCTTATCTCACCTCACAACTCCTGGTGAGGTTGGGGGCAGAATCACCCCCACTTTGTAGACGACGATATTGAGGAACAAAACTCTAGGTGAAGCCAGGTGTGGTGGCACACACCTACCTTCCCAACACCTAGAAGGCTGAGACAGGAAGATCAAGGGTTTGAGGCCAGTCACACAAAAGCAAAGACAGGCTGGCCATGGTGGTTCACGCCTTTAATCCCAGCAAGCTAACAGGAGATAGGCCCGGAACAGGAAGTACATCACAGGGAGCCCAGGCCAGCCAGGGCCATGTAGCTTGATCCTGTCGCAAAAAAACCAAACAAACAATAAAAAGCAAAAAACTAGAATGTAGTTCTGAGGCAGGGCTCACTCCTAACATTTGCAAAGGCCTGGTTTCTATCCCTAGCACCAGAAAAAAGCAAAACAAGACCACCTGTCCAAGCTGATCTTGACCAAGATAACGCCAAGAGCCCAGAACACCTGTCCAAGCTGATCTTGACCAAGATAACGCCAAGAGCCCAGAACATCCTGGTCCTGGCCAGGAGCCCATTTAACCCCTCCCATTGTGACCTATATGTTCTATAATGAATAGGTGAGTATTGTGAGGTAGAGTCCGGGTGTAAAGGGGACTATGAGGTGACATTGCAGAAAACTGGAGATAGGGCAGGAGGGATAGGGCTGTTCCCTCACAAACAGGGACTTTGGGGCAGCCATGTCCTACTTCATGTCTCCACAAACTCATCTGGGGCTTCTGCCTTCTGGCCAAGGTGAGAGGGGGTCCTGGAACTGGAGGGCACCACGGCTTCCTACGTGGAGTTGCTTCCTGGCTTTGGGGAGGAGGTTCTGGATGCTTTGGGGCTGACCATGGAATCCATTTTCTTGGAAGAGAAGATTTCCAAAAGGCCTTGCCAATTACTAATTACCCACTTACTCACTTATTTAACAAACACTTTCCCATCACCTGCAGTATGGGGACTGGCTGGAGTTATGGATATGAGTAATGCTTACATTCCCAACCTCTGACAGTCCTCTTGGGCTGCTTCTGACTGCCCCTGCTCCCAGGCCCTGCCCCTCAGGGCCTCTTCCTCCGAGAGACCAAGAATAACATTCCATCTCATTCCTGTCTCTGCAGGTGGGGCTGCTGCTTCGGGTTCGTCCCTTGGTCTCTATAGTTCTGCAGAGCCAGTGGTGGTGGCGTCTGGTGGATTAGGTCCACTCAGCCAGAAAGCCGAGCAGGTGGTACCTGCTGCTGCCCAGGCCTGGGGCCCTACCTTGGCAGTGCCCGAAGCCAGGGGCTGCTCTGGGGGTGCTAGCTGGGAGACACCGCGGAGGAAGGAATACAACCGATACTGCCCCAAATTGCCCCCCATGAGGCAGCTGGAGACCTTGGGCTGGGCAGACCCCTGCTCCCGAAGCAGAGCTCCCCACCTGGGTGGCCCTAACAGGCCCAGGCCCCTGCTGCTGTGTGGGCTGTCACCAGGGGTTCTGACGATGTCCTCCGAGGCAGGTGGGAAGGAGGCTGGCTCCCAACCTGACATCTGCATCCTTACCTTAGCCATGATGATTGCTGGCATCCCCACAGTACCTGTTCCAGGCCTGCGGGAAGAGGACCTGATCCGGGCAGCTCAAGCTTTCATGATGGCCCATCCAGAGCCAGAGGGAGCTGTGGAGGGGATGCAGTGGGAGCAGGCACATGCCCACATGGCCTCTGGACAGATGCCTCTAGTGAGATCCAGGAGGGGCTCCTGCTTGTAGCCAGATGAAATAGCATGAGATACATAGGGTGGCTTCTCCGTATGGTTTTTGGGCAGATAAGGTTTGGGATGGCTATGGCAGGGATGGGAAGAGGGTGTGGGTAACTGAGCCATCCTGAAAAATTGCACTGCTTTGTTAGGACCACCCCCAGAAAGCTCTTGATACCACTAAGAGATCTGACAAGGTTAAATCAAGTTACCTAGGTAGGTAAGCTAGATTTTAGAGAAGCTCTGTTTAGAGAGTATAGAGGCTTATTTTGTATTGAGGAACCTGAGAAATTTTTGTCTAAAGCTCTAGACAATATGGATTTTCCTCTTGCCTTGTGTCCCAGCTACCTGAAGGAAGATGGGACTGTAGGCAAATGATGGGAAACATGTGGCTGAACAAACGCCACGAATCCAGACAAATAGAAACCCATTCTTCTTTTATATGACCAACCCTGTGAGGATGCCCATTTTACAGATCAACTGAGGCATGGAGAGCTGCTTGCTGGGACTCTCACAGCTAGTAAAGGCGGAACCAGGCCTAAGAACTATGGCAGGTCAAGAGAGGACAGAGGCAACACTCCCACATGCACCACCCTGCCAGTTCTCTTCCTCTCACTGCTCCCAAGGACCACGTATAAAACAGACAAGACAACTGTGGGGTACAACATTCGCTTTATTGACCCCATGGTGGGATGGGAAAAACTGGGAAGCCTGGCCGAGTCAGCACAGCAGCCTCTTCCTTTGTGGGAAGGCTCCAAGGCTAGCATCAGGAGAAGCATCTCATGACTGGGGCAGTAGTTACCAACACTGAACCTTCAACCTCATCACCCACCATCTCTCTCAAGGAATCACTTGTTTTCAGAAATGTCTTGAGCTGTACCCTTCCCTTATAGAAAAGTTGTCAAAACCTAAGCCAGAATGTATGACAGAGACCATATTCGACCAAAGCCCACAATATTTACTACTGAGCTCTTAACAGAAAACATTATTTGTTTTATGGAGCTTGACACATTCTAGATAGAAGGCTGGGGTAGGGCAGGAGACTTCTGAAGGAAGCATAACTGTGTGGGTAGCGGAGTAAATGTGAATGAACATATGTACATGAACATTTCAGGGCGTCAACATAATCAGAAGTTGGGCCTGTAACACAGGCCTATAATCCCACGTACTCAGGAGGCTAGTTAGGAGGCTCACAAGTTCAAAGGCAGCCTGTCTATAGAATGAGTTCAAGACTAGCCTGGGCAACCTAGTGAGAGTATCTGAAAAAGAGGCAGTAGAGCTGGGCGGTGGTGGCGCACGACTTTAGACTTTAATCCTAGCACTCGGGAGGCAGAGCCAGGCAGATCTCTGTGAGTTCGAGGCCAGCCTGGTCTGCAGAGCGAGATCCAGGACAGGCACCAAAACTACACAGAGAAACCCTGTCTCGAAAAACCAAAACCAAAACCAAACAAACAAAAAAAAACCCAAAAAAAACCCAAAGAGGCAGTGGTCAGCACTCAAGAGATAGAGGATCAGGAGTTCAAGGCCAGTCTCAGCTATGTAGAGAGTTTCAGGCCAGCCTGGGCAATCTAATGAGAGGCTGTCTCAGAATAAGAGATAAAAAGAGGCAGTGGCAGAGTGTCTGCCTGACGTATGGACTGCTCTGGGTTCAGTTCCCAGTACTGGGTCTGTATGTGTGGTCAGAGCTGTACCTGCTCGTAAGGGCCGATCCAGCTGTCGGCCAGTTCCCTAAGGGTGCTATAGCGACGCTCAAATTCCTCCTTGCTACAGTGCTGTAAGAGCTGACCTACCTCCTCAGTGAGGAGAGTCACGGCCAGGTGCTTATCCAGGGTGGCACTCCACTTGCTTCCCAGGATGCTGTCGAGACTGGTGGCGCAGCCTGAGGCCCACTGAGCCTGCAGCATGTCAGGCTGGAGGACCTGGTGGCGGGCACTGAGCATGGCCAGGATGTGGCGGCAGGGCAGGTGGAAGGCTTGGTTAAAGTAGCAGCTGCAGCTGGCCGGGGACTGGGGCTGGACATTGTGCGTATCCTCCAGAATCTGTATGTTCACTTTTTCTGAGCCGGAGCCAATGAGGTGCATGGATTTCTGGACCACAGCAAGCTCACCTAGGCAGAGTTGGGCTGCTGGCCCCGTGCAGATGGCATTGAGGGAGTGCTGGATACGGGCTTCCACCAACTGCTCTGTGCTGGGGTTTTCAAGGCTGGCATCTGGAGGAGTGTGAGTGTCCTCGGGAGTCACGGCCAGGCTGAAGCTTGCTTTGTCAGAAGGGTTCTGCTGCATGTATCGGAACACGGATGCCATGCCTTGTTTCTCAAATGGAGTGGTGCCAAAAAACTGACTGAGGATGTGGGCTGTGACCTCCAGGCTCTGGAAGTATCGGTTGCTCTGGGCTCGGCTTCTCCAGCGGTGGGCCAGCCAGATGCGGTCATTGAGCAACCAGTGTGAGTGGAGCTCAGGCAGCCTGCTGGAGGGGATGCAGCTGCTCAGGAGTGTGTACAGCTTCCTCAGGTTGCCAGCTGTGGCTGAGCACATCGTGCTCTGCAGGGAGGACAGGAGGACACTTTGTACAGGCTGCTCTAGGGACAGTTGATAGAATTTACCCTGGAGGAACTTACAGATGTGGAAGGCTGAGAACAAGACCTCAGCTGCGGGGAACTCCATGGTCAGGGTGGGCAGCAGGAGGAAGTGGGGATCCACCAGGATGGTACAGACTCTTTCCCATGCTGGGTTAAACTTTTTGAACACCTGGAACATCTGGGCCAGGCCTTTGGCATCTTCATTGGTAGGGATAGCAAAGTACACTGCTCGGGCAAGAGGCCCCTCAAGCTGTACCCGGGGTCCGTCTACCAGGAAGGTGTACAACACCTTGCCTCTTGGGTTATAGGTCCGGTGTATAAATAAGACCTCGGGGAAATGAGCAAAGAGATCTTGCATGAAACAGCTTTGGTAGTTGAAGGCATCTAGCTGAGGGTTCTTGCCAACCTGGTGCAGAACCGTAGACGGGCTTGAGTCCTCAATAAGAAGTCCATTCAGCATTGTGAGGGCCATGGAGGAGCTGGGAGGTACCTAAAGCCCACGCTAGGATGCTTCCTCTGCAGGATTGCCGTCAGGAAAGCATTACGTTTCTCAAGTGCCACGTAATTTGATGCCTGAAGCTAGACTGTAGTTTTAGATTTTTGTTCCAATGGGCCTATGGAAAGGAAGAGACACTTAAAATAGTAAGGACCTGGCTCTTCGCTTATTTATCCAGACAATAATTCAATATTTATCAATTTTTATTAAATACATGCCCCTATGTATTTTCTAGGGGCAGATATACAACAAATACATACGGATACATTGGATAATGGTTATAAAAACCACAAAAATGAGAAACAGGGTCAGAGAGTATGTTGGGGAAGGCAGGACACATTAGTTAAAGTGGCAAGGTCTCTCTAGTGGAGATTACCCTGGATGAGATGGAAATAACAAGCCAGCCATGGGAACATAAGGTTCCCAGGAACTTAAATAGGCATGGAACCAGTGTAGTGGTGTGTCTTGTGATCCAAGCTACCAAAAAGGCTAAGGCAGAAGAACCAGGCCAAAGTCAGCCTGGACCAGTTTAAGACCAGTACAGACAATTTAGGGAGAGCCTGTCCCAAATCACAAAACCTCTAACAATAACACACACACACACACACACACACACACACACACACACACACACACACACACACACACACACACCAAAACCAAAAACCAAACAAAGGACTGGGGAGTTGGGTGTGGTAACACACACCTGCAATTCCAGCACTTGGGAGGTGGAGGCAGCTGGGTCAACTCAAGGTCATCTTGGATTATATGTGATCCTGTCTCAGGAATAAAGGCTCAGGGCTGGGGGATACAGCTCATTGGCAGTACAGGGGATTGAAAACATATGGCCTTTATTCTTTTTCTATACAAGGGCACTGCTGTGTGGACCTGGCTTTGACCCCCGCCCAGTCCACAGGAATCCTCTCACCTAAACTTCCTAAGAGCTGGGATTCAGGCATGTGTCACTACATACAATTCTTTTTAAAAATAACCTTCTGAATGTTTGTATAGCCTTTACGTTCACAAATTCTTGTAATTCTTACAAACTCTTTTGGTCCTGATATATACCAGGAAAAAAGCAATCACTCAAAATTTGCTGTGAAATATTGGGCAAGCCAGTGGCCCTCTCTGAAAACCGAATTCCTTTCACTATAAACCGGGGCTAACAGTTGGGTTTAGCTTTTCCCGTTTCTACATATATCCCGATTGGCTGCAAGGCTTTATGCAAATGCTTCCTGTTTGGCTCCATTTACTGTCCCCATTTCGCAGATAAGAGTCTCAGGTTCAAAGACAGATGAGAGACAGAGGTTCAAAGACGTAGGTTCAAAGACAACTGGAAGCCGAGTCTTTGGCTCCAGATCCTGATAGCATCCTATAGGGTCCAAAAAAGTGGACCGGGAAGGGAAGGCGGCCTCTGACCTCACCTGAGCCCGGGTGTGGGACGCGGAAGCTGAGGTTCGCGTTCGAGCCCAGCGGAGCCGAAATCTACCTCCCACTGGTGGGAGCTGTATGCCCTAAGCGCTGCAACCGGAGTCCACGCCTCTCCTGCTGAGACCGCTCACCCACCGGCAGACAGCAGACGCGGCAGCCATTTCTCCCACTGGGCCCGCCTCCGCCTGACTGACGCCCCGGCTCACCAATCACCACGCCAGCTTCTCAATGACTCAGGCCAAAGGACTAAAGAGCACGCCGTCGAACTTGGGAGCTACGGACCAATCCTGGACTGGCGGGCGCTGTTGCCAGGGTTACGGGGGCTCGGCCGGAGGTAGCCAATGAGAGCCTGTGGAAGGATGTTCGCTCCGGGAACCGGCGGCCCTAGGGCGGAACCTCCCTTCCGTCTAAGGAGGTTGGAAAAACCGCACCTTTCCAAGGTCAAACCGGAAAATAAAAAGCCCTGTTTTATAAGGGAACCTTTTGTTTGTTGGGTATGGAGCTGTCGGGCTCCGAGGAGACAGATGGATGGGAGAAGGTTCAAAGGTCGTACTTCATTCTCAGCCTTGTGGAGAAACTGAGGCCTGTAATTCCAGCTATTCAAGGGTTGAGGTAGAAGATCAAGAGTTTGAATCTAGCCTAGGAAACCTAGTAAGACCAAGTCTTAAAAAGCTGGGTGTGGTGGTACACGCCTTTAATCCTCCCGCGCTCGGGAAGCAGAAGCCAGCCTGGACTACGTATCAAGTTCCAGGCTAGGCCTCTCTCAAAAATAAAATAATTTAAATTAGGAATTTGCCAACAGCGTCCCAGAAGTGGCTCGAAGTAAAATCTAGGATTTGGGTCTCCTCCCTCCCGGTCCTCTTGCCCCTTTCCTGAATAGAATGAACAAGACACCCTAACATCAATGTTGCAGGCTCAGCTGGTAGGAAGAGGGCAAAGTGGTACTACATTACTAACTCTGACTCTGAAGCACCAGGTTCTATCTGGCCATTACCCATTAGTAATACTCAAGTTTCCTTTAAAATGAGAACGTTTGAAAACCTAGGCTACATGAGACCCTGTCTCAAAAAACACAAAAGTGAAACAAAAACAAAGTCACTTTATTAATGTGAATAAAAATACATCACAGGTATTTTCTGAAGAGCAGCGACAGTCAAGGGTCACCCTCCTCCCCTCCGTCTCAGAAAACAAAGCTCACTTTGTTTTATCCTATCCTGGGCAAGGGTTCATCTCTGTAGGGTCAAAGCAATTTGACCTCTGGGGCTGGGGAGGAAGGGGCATGACCTTTCAGTATGGAATAACTTTGGCTTTGAACGATGAATGAGCTGTCTATAGAATGTCAAAGGCAGGGCTGAAAGGGGGCAGGTCAAAGGACTGTCACAGAGGCGTCCCTGTCCCTCCACTTTAAGATCTTCTTAGCCCTTACCTGGGAAGACACTTGATTAAAATACTGACCTACAGTGTGACCCGCCCACTTTGAACCCTTAAACTTCCAAGGTTTTGAGACGCAGTGCACTAGTACAAACACTTCAATCCTGAACCATGGCTTCAGTAAGAGGAAGGCTGTCCCCTTCCTCCAGCTTTCCCCAGAGGAAAGGGAGGCACCCCACATCTTTGAAGTCCACCGGCTGCTGACTGGACTCGGGTAGCTGGTAGGGGTCAGCCCAGATGTCCACAATCTTGCGCAGGGTGGAACAGCGCTCCTCCAGCTCCGGGCCCTCAGTCTGCATCAGCAGGTTTGCCAGCTCCCTGCTTAGGTCCTGAATCCTGTGGTTCTGACCTTCCGCTTCCGGCTGGTCTGTGTTTGGGATTATGCCGCGGTCCTGAAGCTCCCCATTGGGCCCCAGGAGGTGCTGGTACTTCTTCTGCCACCGGCAGCACACCATGGCTTCCCCTACCGGCTGCTGGCTGGTATGCAACAGGGCCAAAATGTGCCTGCACGGCAGATGGTAGCACTGCTGGAAGGAGCAGCTGCAGCTGCAGCCATCCTTGCTCACCTGGTGCGAGTCTTCCAGCAGCTTAACAGCTACGGAGGAGCCAGCCACGTCCACCAGGTGGGTGGAGTTCTGTACCACCTCCCACTCATTATGGCACAGCTTGTAGGCTAGTTCAGAGCCACTTTGGTGCAAAATGTCCAGCATGCCACCTTTGCAGGATTGATCCTGGGGCTGTAGTGATTGAGACTGCTGTGAATCTGGCTTTGTCTCTTCCACAGGGAGCCTGGTGACATTCCCTGCACAAATTCTAAAAGGCTTCTTGGGCCTTGGGGGCGTGCTTGGGAGCTGAGTTCTTTTTAACTTGGGAGAATTGGTGGGCAAGCTCTTCAGACCTTTGGTATTAAAGAAGTCTATGTAATCCACAAAGTGAAGGATGCAGTCCAGGAGGGACCGCTGCTCCCGAAACAGGCTTGACACCTTGCTGGTGACTATGTCCAAACTGTCCATGTAGGTGTTACATGCATGCAGGCCCTTCCTCACATGCATGTACCAGAGCAGTTCACAGGAGAACCAATGGGCCTGGAGGAACATGAAGAGTTCCTCATCCAGCAGGGCTTGGGACATCTGACAGAGGTTTTTCAGGCTTGCATCAGAAGAGACAAACACAGCCTCCCGCAGGGCTTCCTTCATGAGCCTTTTAAAGGATGCATTTGCAGAGCTTTGATGTAACTTCTTCTCTAGGAGCCGAGTTGTATGATAGATAGAAAGGAGGATGCGGGCCGCAGGGAAGATCTCCTGAAGAACAGCTCGGTAAGGGAATGAAGGGTCCACAAAGACCACCTTGACCTTGGGCCAGTCAGAGTTGAATTCTGTAAAGATATTAAGCATCTTGGCCACAGAGGGGTCTGTCTCAGCCTTGAGCACAGCGAAATGTACCACTCGACTCTCTCGCTCCTTGTTTTCCACCAAGAAAGCATACAGAATATGGCCCTGGTTATTCTCCACCCGGTGCAGCAAGAGATTCTCTGGGAATCGGGTGAACAAGTCACTCATCTTGCTGCTCTGGAAGCTGAGCCGGTCCAGGTCTTGACTGGTACCCACGCTGAAGGAAGCCATTGAGCCCTCATCCACCGTAAGGAAGTTCTTCATCACTTTTGCTATCTTGGCCAGATCAGAAGGACTGATGGCCCCCTGCTTTGGGTTTGAGGGCAGGTGCGTCTTATCTAGGCAGAGAGATGGCGGCTCTACTGGGAGCGGCTCTGCTGCATCAAGGTCTTTCTTGATGCTGAGCTGCAACGGCTGGAGTTTATGCAGACACACTGCCTTCTGAAGTCTGCTAGCAGGGGCTCCTCCAGCAGTGTTAGAGTCAACATGTACATGCTGGGTATTCAGTTCACTGATAAACAGTCTATCTAGGCTCTCGTTGTACTGCAGGAGCAAGTATGCTGGGCACCTGTCCACCTTCCGTGTTCTCTTCCTGTTTGATTGCGTCCGAATACAGACAAATTTCACCTGCACATATCTAGGGAAGTAGAGGTGACAATGAGAAAGGTGTTGGCTGCCGCTCTCTTACAAGATAAGACCTGGTAGCCATTTATACTGACTAATGTTTCCTAGAGACCACAAGGTAGTGTGGAATGTAAGGAAGAAAAATTTACAGTAACTCCCTAGCCCCAACGTTTTCAGCTCCCTTCCTCAAGACTATCATCCCATTACAACACCCCTTAGTTTCCTCCATACATTTCTAAGGCCAACTGATTTGTGGTTTTTAGTTTGGGGACGGGCATGCAACCTTCCTGGTGAAGCTTCCCACGAGCTGGGGTTACAGAGATGAGCTATTTACTGTACTAGGCCTAAAGGCCCCATTTTTTTCATTCTGCCTGCGGCCATTTGTGGCTGCCAACAACCCAGTCTGAGGTGGGACGTAAGGAGAAGCTGACACAGCAACAGAGTGCCTGGCTAGTTTCTCCTCCTTGAAACAACCCCAGGTCTATGATGCTAGCATCTGGGAGGCTATGGCAGGAAGGCTGGAAGCTCCAGGGCAGACGGGGCTATATGGCAAGGCCTTGTCTTAAAAACAAAACAAAAAAACCCAAAAGTCCTCCTCATTCATCTGGGACACGACTGCCTGACTCCCCTCGACAGCAGCTTTCTGAGGACTGGTGCTGTCCACTGAGCTCTTCAGAATGCCCAGGGAAGAGCATGTGCTGGGGCTTAACTGTAGAAGAGAAAATTTCTGGTTGTTCCTGTAAAGAGAATGTTCACACCCTGAGTTGCTTATGCTTTGGTCTACGACGGAGAGTCTGAAGCATCTAAGAAAGCCCCCACCCCTGGAGCCTTAGCACTCTAGGTGGAAATGGATTATTCCAAGGGGATGGTTATCAAATTATTTGCTCTTTCTTTCTTATTTCTATTCAACTCTTGAGTTCAAGGCCCAATCAAATCTTCTCTTCTCAGCCTTTATGGATGACCCCAAGCTACAGTAATTAGTCCTGAATCTGAATTTACCGCATTCAACTACAAGGTCTTATAGACCTGTAGGTGTCAATACAACTGGAGGTGAGAGGGGAGCACTGGAGGCCAAGTTGAGCCCTTTGCATCCTGGCTGTCACTGGGAAGCTGTTTGACCTTGGGCAAGTCGATTCACCTCTGTGGATATAGTATGCCCATTATAAAATGAGACAGCCTCATTAGGGTTATCATAAGACTAAATGAACCACAGATAGAACATTTAGCCCAGAGCCTGCCTTGGCCTTTTGTTTATGTTAGAGCTAAAGTTAGCTGCTTTTACAGTTCCCATGCAGGGGAACATTTAGTGGGGAGTTAGTCCACCAAGTGCCAGGACTAAATCATTCCTCAGTGTATTCCTAGCTCCAAACAATGCTGCTCCTTCAGCAGATGCTTATTAGTGATATCATAGGTGAATGACTCATGGACCACCAGTGGGTGGGATGGGTCACAGCCCTGCCTCCTCTGGGAGTGGCTCAGCTGAAAACCAGGGGAGAGGGGAAAAGCTCAGCCTCTAGTATGACAGGCACAGCCTGGGA